TCTCTCTCTCTCTCTCTCTCTCTCTCTCTGATCGCCGGCGCGATGTCCGTCCCGCTGGAGGTGTCCCGCCTCTCTCTCCCTCCCGGTGGTGTGACGTCACAACGGCCATAAATCCTCTGGGGCCACCTTGTCCCTGAGCTTTGTCCAGGTAATTGCCGTGATTATGATTTGATTTCACGTTTCCAGGAGCCGGCCCGTGTAGCCGGGCCCGCTGCCACAATGGCCATTCAGCAATGCGGCGGTGGAAATTCGCACTTGCGATCGTCTCTCTAGTCTCTAGCCGACGCTTAAATTTTTAAAATTACGTATGTACATACTGTTTCGAAAATAGATGAATAAGTACTTCAGACCACATCTTGGCGTGGTGGCTTGGTGTTGGTTGTCCCACTCATTCATTCCGTATAACTGTCCCACCTTCCCCTCGCCTAATTTTAAAACGGGAAACGTTCAATAAAATGGCAAAGCTTCTTCAAGCTCGATTCTGCTATAAAGAGTACTAAAGAAAAAGAGAAACTTGGATTTTTTTTAAAAAAATCGCACGTATTTTTGCAGTGTGTGCGGCACACACGTTTCTGCACGGTCTTGCATGCGCGGCAATGGACAATGGGACTGCCGGGTCAGGTCAGACTGTTTCACGGAACACTAGTGCCGCCCCAACCGCACACCGCGCCCTATCCGGCCATCCCTGTCTCTCTCGCACCCCCGGGCAACGCCCCGTGAGTGCGAGGGAGACAGAAGACGCTGTTCGGGATCGGTCTGACTCCGGCCCGGCTGACTCGACCTCCGGAGTTCTCCGGGCCTCCTCCGGGGTCTCCGGGGTCAAGAGCCGCCCCGGTGTGTCTGTGGGCCAGGGCAGCCAGGGCAGCGGGGCCGGCACGCAGGTACACTGTGAAGAACGGCGCAGGACGCGAGCGGGGAGGAAGTCGACCGCCGGCTTCTGGTTCTGCTCAGCAGCGCGTCAGGTGTGGGTGCTGTCGGTGCACTCTGTCAGATCCTCTGCAGCCGAGGTGCAGCCCCTGGCGCGAGATTGACCAGATCGCGGCGCTTGTCACTGACTTCCTGACTTTCCCCTGACGAGGACGGGAGAGAGAGAGGGGGAAAACAAAACCGAGTGCGTCTTCTAATTGACGCGTAGTCGGCTTATGAAGAGCCACAATGGCAGAGCAGCTGAGCGCTGCCGCTATGCATTCAGAGGAACAATGCTGAAATAGAAAGTGAGCCGCGAAAACCCTTTTCTTCTTCTTCTCCCTCACCTGACAGCGTCTGGAATAAATTACCTGGCCACCCTTACAAAGGCACCCCAACGGACCGTCATCGTCGTGGCGTGCTACACGACGTGCTCGCCGCGTCCGTGTGGCCGCGTCGCGCGCATCGATTCAGAATTAAACATTTTTAGAATGCGGTTTTCTTTGTACGCGTCGGTTTTTGGTGGGAGGGTGTGTCGCATTCGGCGGAGCATGCGATTCCGTCGTTTGAGCCCCACAAAGGGGAGGACGGCGGCGATGAGTCTCCCTCGCCAAATGCAAACATTTTCGGCGGTGGGTCGTCGTCCTCGTCCACCGCCTTGAGGCCGCGGCTTCAGCGCGCCGAGCGGAGTGTCGCGTTTCGTTGTGATGAATTGTAGTGGCGACTCTGCTGTTATGAGAATTCAACACGGCGTTTATGACACCCCATCAACAAGGTGAGGCCACACACACACACACACACACACGGCCAGGGCTCGCGTTTTGTTTCATCTTTAATTAATGATGGCCTTTCAATAAACACACGTATCCCGTGTTGTCGGTGGCAGTCTGTTGGATCCCCATTCCCACCATCCATCATCCCCGATAGTCCTCACTTTCGCCGTGTCTCTGCGGCCCGGGCGGCGGGGCCACGGGGCCCGGGGCGGCTCGCTGGCTCGTTTTGTAGTGTTATCTCCGCGCGGGCTTGCTACGTGCGCTGAAAGTAGCAGCCTCATTATTTAAAATTTTTAGTACCCGAAAAAATATTTACCAATAGCTACCAGTAACACTTTACCAAAAAAAAAACATTTCGTATTAAAAATTGTGTCATAAATTTTTATTTTTCAAGCTTGCATCATTGGACTTCACGCGCCACTTTGATGAAGTCTTAATCTCGTGTATCCGAGGTGGGGCGTATCGATGCACACCGCCGGGCGAACAGACGGACAGACAGACGGACGGACTGACCGAATGACTCGAGGCGCAGCCACGCCGTTCTGACGTATCGGCAAGTTGTCAGCGGGTACCTCACGCTGCAAACCTGATCACGAGTAGCGATACAATTGGAACGGGCACGAGTGCGGAGCCGGGCTGGACTCGGCACTGGAGGAAAAACAGTCGTCATAATAGAAGAAAATAAGAGGAGGAGCGACGTGCGATAGATGCCCCTTTGACCCCATAAATTCCCGATGCCACACAGCGCACGTACAGGCTGCGTCAAAAGCCTAAGTATGTGTGTACACATATCCGGTGACACCACCGCATGGCGGACTGGGCTGAGCGGCCCTGAAAGCCGTTTTTCTCCGAGCGCACTCCCCCCTCGGATATCAAGCCGATTCGAGGCGGATGAAAATAAGCCGAGAAGTTGACATGCGGTCAGAAGCAGCGTAGTGGTTGGTCCTTTTCTCCGGCTGGCCGACCGGCTGGCTGCCCGGCTGGCTGCTCGGCCGGCTGGCCCGGCTGGCTGGCTGCTCCGTCTGCCCGTCCGTCTGCGCGCCATTTGACTCGCAACCTCCCAATGGCTGATAACAGCTGCTTTTGGCTCGCGACACACGCCACAGACCTAGCCCTGTAAATCATCCTTCACTCCCAGCTGGGATGGAATGCGGCGCCATTAGCACTCGTCTTAATTAGCAATTATGAAGAGCAGCAAACAAGGACAAGAGGAAGATGAGCCACAGCAACAACAACAGCAAGCAGAGGGCCCTTGATTGAATCGGCGAGGCGTTTCGCAGAGCAAGTGGCCCGCGGGGACATGATGACAACTCCTTGTACATAAGCGGCGTATTAATTTGCGTTTAGGAAGCCATTAACGCGAGCAACAAATCTCGCGCCTCAACAACGGTAATAATAGCTAGCGGGCGTCATAAATTCTAACCTACACGGCGGGGCGTGGCGGGGCGGGCAGCCTGGACTGCAGCGCTCCGAATCGGACGACACGAACCGCGACATTAATTTCGTATTTATCACCCTCGGCAGATGAGAGAGGTCAGTTTCAAGTGGCCGCCTGTCTCTTTTTGCAGTTTGCCTGTAATTGCTGCCGGGGGGTGTTGCTGCGTCTCTCTCGCACGCGTGCGCCTCGCCGCCGCCGCGCTTGCTCTCTCTCCCCCACCGGCCGGCTATAAATTACTGGCTCCCCCGGGCTGGCCGCGCTACCAAAACAAACAGCGGTGTGATTGTGTGAAATATTTATGACGTGTGAATCGGCCGGTCGGCCCCGGGCGGGGCAGCGGGGCGGGACACTAACTCGTCTTTGACCTGTTAATCGGCCGGGTGGTCGGATTATCAGATTAAACGGCCGTGTGAGGGGCTCACTTGGAGAAAGGAAGAGTGTCCTTCAGGAGAGTGGCAGGGCAGGGCCCACTCAACAAAATTTCAAATATCTCTGAAACGGCGAGAGATACTGGACCTCTGCTCGGGACAGTTTAGTCTCTAAATTTTATTTCTTATCTTTGTCACTCTGGGCATTAAACTTGTAACAGTCACCGTTTCGGAGATATCAACCTGAATCCGTCCGTAAAATAATTTTAATTTTTGCTCGTCAAGTTGGCGCGAGCTTTGCTGTGTACGGTACCGCACGTTGTCCGCTCTGGACGCGGTGCGACGCGGTGCCAATGTCTGTCAATGGCTGGCTGCTCTCCTTTCCCTTTCGGTGATTGTCTTTGCCTTCCCGTTGCTTTGCCTGTGCTGGCGCTGCAGGTGCCCGCCGGGCATGCCCATCACAGAGTCAAGGACTTGCAACGGTCAATAAGGGTTGCCGGCCTTGGGTCACACACGCTAGCCTCACAAAGGGCCCCAACAAAGGTCCTCATCTGTATGCACGCCAAGGAATGGGCATTGGCGAAGGACGGCGCGCGAAAGCTTTCCGCAGAACGCGCCCTTGCGGTTTGCGCTACTTCGTGCTTCAGGCCGACTTCTATTTCAACTTTATTTTTCCTCTGAACCCGTCGGGACTGAATGGCGGAACCGCCTTTTGAACAGACAGGCTTTCGGGCGCACCTTACACGGTACTCGGGGCGTTGAAAGGGACATGGGAGGGCCATGGGAGACCATGGAAATGGAGCGGTGCTCGGCCCGATTTCAGGCGCGTTACTCTACTAACTGGCCCATTCAGAGCGCCGAGATGGAGCTGTGACAAGCCAGCGTAAAAGGGTGCCTGGGCAGCACCAAATGAACATGATAGGCAAGAGACGCAAAAGTTGCAATACGCTGCGGTGCACCAGGATTCTGGCTAAACAAAGCTTTCCCCTCTTGAACATTTTTCTTTTTCAATTCATCGATGGGGATCGTGTTCAAATAATTGTGCAAAAATGGCGAGAATCCTCCGGGCCGCGGCTGCCTGTGGCTTGCGCCAGGCTTGCGCCGCGCGGTGCACGCTGCTCCGCCCACAGGGCCGCTCTGCCGCGCTCTGCCTCGCCGTGGCGCGGCCCGTCCCTCCCCTGCGGCCGGGCTGAGGCCGGGGCCAGCGGCTCGGCGCGCCCTCCCCTCCAGGCCCGGCGCGCCGTGTCCCCCACCACGCGCGGCCTGCCTCCCCGCCGCCGCCGGCTAGACCCCTCCCCACCAAGTCGGTACCCAATCACCGGTTGACGGACTTGGGGCATCGCCGCGCGGCCTGAAGTTTCCGTCAGAGCGACGGAGAGCGACGCCGTGCGCGACGAGGACGGCGATAGGAGCGAGAGAGAGGCCGGCGGCGCGCGCGGGTGCGAGTGAGAGCGCACTAGCTGGTGCTGGCATGGGGCATGGCCCGGGCGCACTCCGTGTCTCGTCGTCGTGGACGCCGCAGGTCGCCGCCGTGCCGCGTGTCGTGTGAGCCTGACTCGCCGTCAGAGTGCCGTGCCGTCCGTCCGCGCAGTGCCGCGCAGTGCCGCGCCGCGACAGTGCACCTGTGGGGGCCCACGCCGTGCCAGGGCCACACTCAGGGCCACCTTGGAGGGGCCGCCTTGGAGGGGCCCAGCGCACCGCCGCCACCATGGCCCGCAACGTGTGACAAAGTGAATTCCGTGTGTGTGATGAAGTGATAGTGCAGTGTGATAACAGTGACAACATGAGTTCGTACCAGTTCGTCAGCTCGCTCGCCTCCTGCTACGCCAACCAGGCCCAGCAGCAGGCGCGCACGGGGGCTTCCCCGGTGGAGGGCCCCGGGGGCCACCACCAGCAGCACGCCGGCGCGGCCACCTCGCCCGGCGGCGAGTACTACAACAACAACGCGAGCTACAGCGCGTCGCCGACATGCTACTCGCCGCAGGGCTACCCGCAGCAGGGCTACGGGCACATGAGCAACGACATGATGGACTACACGCAGCTGCACCCCGCGAGCCACCAGCGGACACACCTCCAGCACCACATGCCCACCAGCCCGGCGCCAGGGCCCGCCCCGCAGACGCCCAGCGGGCTGCTCAGCCCCGGCGGCGTCAACAGTAGCTGCAAGTACGAGGGCATGCCCGGCGGCCTGGCACCCTCCGTGTCCTCGCCGCAGGACCTGAGCAGCTCGTCGTCCTCGGCCACCAAGTCCACGGCCAGCGCCAGCAAGGCGCCGCCGTCGTCCGTCACGTCCCCGGTGACCGTGTCCACGCGGCCGTCGTCGTCGGCGTCCCCGGGCCTCAACGAGGCCTCGCCGTCGCCCGCGTCCTCCACGTCGTCCACCTCGAGTGGCAACAACAACGGCTCCTCCAAGTCGGGGGGAGGGTCCGGCAGCTCCGCCAACCCGCCCCAGATCTACCCCTGGATGAAGCGGGTCCACCTCGGCCAGAGTGAGTACTCTTTCATTTGTCACTTCCTAGTCACCTGACCTGTCACTGACAGCAGTCACCTGGCGTGACGACGCGGTGACGTACCTTGTCGGCACCCTCAGTCTGCCAAGGGGAGGCTCCGATCGGGAGCGTTCTCAGAAAGTCACCGTCATTTAAGTTTCGACTGAATAGCTTTGCGATTTCGCATCCACCAGTTGATAGTCCAGCATCATTAGGCTCCCCGCTAAAGACGGTGGCCGCCCTGCCCGGCAGTGCCCGCCGCCTGGCTGGCGTCTTGCATCTAGGACTGGATATAATTTATGGATTCGCCATGGAAATGAGCCGAGCTGCTCTAAGCTGGCCGCCAAACGACAGCACGACGAGAGGCGCGAGGACGCTTGTAAGGCGCACTGGGAAAACTCGTTAAAACCGCATCGACAAGCTTTCCTGGATGTTCGCGGTGACCACAGGGAGATCTCCACATTTTACAAACTCGGTTGCCATTCATCCAGTAAATGAATGGGGACCTCGCTTACACCTTATTCAATTATGACTTCATTGTTTCGCTTGATGCTGTAGCTGTGTCATCTGCTAATATTGACTGTGACTGCAATTTTCTTTATGATTTTTGATATTCACCTCATAACATGCAGAAGTATTCTTTCCTTGGACCAAAAATGCTCGTGAAAGAACCGCAAAGCATTTACTTGACACGAATGAAACATACTTTGCACCATAAGAGCTCACTCTGCACCCGCCACACTTTCCGTTTTTGGCTCGAAATTCAAACGGAGCGCTGCCGCCACCGCGGTGCCGTTGGACACTCACTGTTAATCATTAATCATAATGAAGGAGCAGACCCTTTCAGCGGGGTGGGTCCGGGCCGCCACCCTGGGCTGCCTGGGCTGCGGGGCGCGAGCCCCACAGAATCGCTCCGCTCCGCGACGAATCGAAGGCACGCCACTCTCCCGCCCTTAATTCAAGTTCCCCGCAGCAAAAGTTCATTGGTTCCCAACTTCCTCTCTCGCGGAAAGGGGCGCGACTGGCAGACTGACATCACCCCCCGCCGAGCCCAGCCTGGGGCCAGTGTCAAAATACTTTTTCCGAGGTGGATCATTAATCGAGGAAATAAGGAAAGTTGGGGCTTTGTTGGCCGCGGAATCGGAAAAACCAATAAGCGCCTTCAGTGCAAACAGTAGTGGTCCTCACGAAATCACCGCGGCGCGATGTGTGTGTGTGTGTGTGCGTGCATGGGAACGAATTTTTTCGAAAGTTTTGTCACCGGGTGCCTAGGTCTAAAAACTCTCGACACAATCTAAACACGCAGATTTCGCATGTAAAGTCTAGTAAAATCTTATCACAAAACATTCCTGACGATCTCGCTTGAACGAGGTGCAAAATCTATTCTTCCGATATTTTTGGACCAAGGGTCGTTGAACAATTAACCCTAAGGCGAGCTAATAATGTCTTTGAATGAATGGACACGTTATCTTTGGTTTTGAAAAGATCTTGACAGTGGCTCAAGAGCTAGAATGTCCTCTCCTGGATGGAAATTGTTTTATTGCCATTTTAATCAGACAGACTCGTTGTTTTCAGTAAAACGAAAATTTCAAAAAATCCTTTGGTGCTTAAGTGCAGATTCGGACTGAAGCCTCAACGTCCCGCGAGACGTCCACTCCACTGCGTCCAGGTCGTGCGAAGCGAGCGAAGGGCCCCGCGATGCCTTATCACCGAGCGTGACTCGCCGGCCCATAAATCAAAGCCGTGCGAGCTTATGTCAAATTACAAAGCGAGTCTCATTGTTGGATTTGCGGTGCGGTTTGAAAACTTGTGCCGTCTTGCGAAACGAGACCGCAGCTCGCCTCCTCACCACCCGCTCATTTTGGGGATGAAACAAAAAGCACGCCCTCTCCGTGTTTTGTTGTTGTTGTTGCCACACACGATTGCGCTATCGTGCCGTTTTCTTTCCCAGTGTACCCCAAGAACCTGCTGTCCTGCATAGCAGGGGAGTCACCCCAACGGAGCCCGCAGAGAGAGAGGGCATGTTACATATCCAACCGGGTGTCACTTCCCTCCGATGCCCTCTTCTCTCCTTTTTTCTTTTTTTTCTGTCGTCTTCTCTACCGAGCTCACCTTCCAATCGAACGGACAGGCATTCAGGCGCACAGGAGGGCAGGCTTCTTCCTTTTCTCTTCGTTCAAACATTCTAATAAGGGTATTTTCCGTGGTTTGGGGATGACACCCGGATAGGTGATTTACGGCTTGTGCGCCTGTCAGGTGACAAAACACACACACATACACACCCACGTCGTGCGGCTTTCTTATTTTCCCCCGGGACCCCTTCCGTGATTGGTGGAGAAGGTAGAGAAAACAAACACCCCTGCTTGCCTCCAAACTCCATTTTGGCGCGTGCTTCGCTTGCTATTTCTGCTCCTTTTCGCCCTTTTTCTCGACTTTTAGCACCGACAAATGGCCACAACTGGCTTTCGATTGAGCCCGATTACCCTTCGAGCCGTCCGGGCGCCGTGCGCACTTCGGCCAGCAGGGGGGCCGAACTACAAGCCCATAAATAACTTGGAGACGCTCCAGATATTAATTTACTGGCCGGCCGGCCGGGCCTGCTGACGGTCTATTCCACAGGAATGAGTTGAAAATTTCAAACACGGTGTCAGTGTGATGCGCGTGGCCTGCCGGCGCGGGGGGCCGCCTCGCTTCTTCTTCTTCTTCTTCTTCTTCTTCTTCTTCTTCTTCTTCTTCTTCTTCTTCTTCTTCTTCTTCTTCCACGTACGGTTCGGATTGGTTTCGGAGTACTACGTAAGAGCACAGCGGACATGCGCGCGGCAGCTAAAACTACGCAAACTAATTTGCACACCCCCGTACCCCGCCCCGCCCCGCTGAGCCTCGACAAGTGCCCCCGAAATCCGACTCCGGAAAAGGTCCCGCGCGGAGACTGGTGACAGCTCAAGGCTCTCCAAGAAGGAGCGAATAGTTCAGCTTGATAGAGTATTTAAAATGTAAAGACTGCCAATGAAACGTGGTGAAAAATTTGTCGGTTGTGGCAGAGCGCGGTGTGGGCCAAAGTATGAGAAATTGTCCGCGCGGCCTGTTGGGCCGCTGGACGCGGCTGAATGCCTGCCTTGACACCGGCTAAGGCGCTCAACTAGCGTGCGCCCAGCAGCAGGTACGCGCGCCTGCTCAGGCACAAGATTTATAGGAAGCACGTCGCGGCACGAATGCTAAATAAACTCTCATTCAAATCTTGAAAGTCCCGCGGCGGCCCGCAGCACTGGCGACTCCATATATACCGAACAAAACGGGCCAATCAGATACAGCCGTCGAGATATCGCGGCAAACACGCGAGAGAAACTCTAGAGTATCGAGGTGTCGGACGATTCCCCGGATTGGGGCGACTGTCCGCGCCTCTCCAGCATTGACGCCTGGAGCGGATCGCCGCGGTGCGCCGCGGGGAAGGGCGCTTCCTCCAGTCATTCCAGCGGGAACTCCCATCCGTCTCCAGTAGCCAGCCCGGCGTGCTCCTTCCGAACTGCGTCGCTCTGTCTCTCTCGCGCCCGCACGGAACGGCCCGTGAGTGCGAGAGGGACGGAGCACTGATCGCAAGCAGCCTGCAGGGGGCCGAAGTCGAGAAATTGCCCGGTGCAGCTCATTGGTGCTCGGTGCACGCATCAGGCTACTCGACTTGTGCTCGCTGCGCACGGTAGTTGTGATGCGCCAGGCCACCGACCCCCGCTTAGAGCACCGTATGTGGCATGGCGGCCCTGCGTGGTTAGGACCTTCTTCCCGGGCGGTTCGCAGGGTCGGGCCCGGCCAGGCGGTGGCCGGGCGTCGTCGTCCGGGTGTCCTCCGGCCAGTTTCTATTCAGCGGCCCGACAGAGAACTAAGCGGCCGAGGGTCCGCGAGGGGTCAGAGGGCGCGGCTACACTCGGCTACACTGCAACACCGACTTGCTGCGGCACGCTGCGGCACTGGAATTGGGCTGATTCGAATCGCGAGCTGGCTGGCTGGCACGGCGAGCCGCGCTGCAGCGTGGGCCGGTCACGTTGTGTTGCCGGCAATATTTACGCGTCACCCCCACGGCCCCCGCGGCCCCCGCGGCCCCACGCCCCCCGCGCTGCTGCACGAAAGGATGAAAAATTCGACAGGCGCGGCGGGCGGCTGGCTCCTCTAGTCTGCCTGTCTTCCGATTCGCGTCGCCTGCCTGTCTGACCGTCCGTCTGTTCGCCCGGCTGTCCGACTGTGTGTCCGCCAGCCTGGCCGGCTCAACAGGGCTGGGGGTTGCAAGGTGGACCTTGAACCCATTCGGGTGCAGTGCGGTGCAGGGCGGTACGCGCGGCGCGTGGCGGACACGGTGAGGGCCTTGTTGTGGTACGGGTTGGCTTTCCGGGCGGCCATTGTCATCGTTCAACGCCTGGCTGGCTGGGCGAGGCGGCTGGCCTGTGATTGACAGGTATTGACTGACACAGTGCACGCACAGCAAGGCGAGACCTAATTTCAAGGACCCCTTTCTCGCCTGGGAAACAGTCGCTGGCCCTCTGTGGGGCCTTTGTTTTGCATGCACCCTTTCAGCCACGATCGAAAGTTTCTTCGTTTTTACCACTTTCTATCTCCTTTTTGGGACACCAGGTCCCATTGTGCCCTTTCCCCTTGACGGCTTTTTGGATAGTATTTTCGATTTATTCCGTGTGCAATTGAGTTTTTTTTCAAACGATATTGATATTTGCCTTACTTTGAAAGACGTTTTAAAAATTTCGCCGCGCTTCACGGCGTAACCTTTCCTGTTCCTGCCGATGGACACGTGCGCGGCGCTGCAATGAAATTTCAATAAGAACAATACGAGGTGATCGGGCAATAAATAACGGCCTGCCCGGCCCGGCTCCCGACGCCCGTCTCGGCTGACGCGGCGTCGCGGCGTCGCGGCCTGCTCCACTCGCAGCGGGCGATGCCTCGGCGCTGCCTGCGGCGCCTGCACTGCCTCGGCGCTGCGGACAAGGCAGTGACACGGGCCGCGGCGCGGGCTGGCCATGTACGTGCGTCAGGCCGTCTTGTTTGCTTACTGAACTGCGGACCAGAAAGCTCGCGGAAAATCACTTCTCGGTTAGAAAACTCTGAAGAGACGATCGATAAGATCACTTTAGTACTTTGGTTCAATTTTTATCCACCTTCATTCATTACCTGAATTTCCATTCAAGGTTTCCTTTCCCACTCATGTCCCATTCATTTCTTCACGTTTATTTTCCACTCTTGTTTTGTTGTTCATTTCTTATTTATTGTTTTTTTCATGTCCATTTTTATTTAACGTTTGATCTTTTGTTCCCTTGAGACTTGTTTTTCGTTCATTTCTTTAACCTTTATTTTTCATTCATTCTCCGGGGCGTTCACTCGGCTTTCCGTTCCGTTTCCGTTCATCTGCATTTTCGTTTTCCCGGCCGGATCAAATAACACGGCCGTCCTGTAATCAGCCCGGAGTGAAATTCGGTGTCCGCCGGCCGCGCTGGCCGCGGTCCACTGCGTGATAATCATGAAGGCAATCTGGCGGGCCGCGCCGCGCTGGGCTGGCTGCCGCGGGCGAGGGAGATGACCAGCGTGGAGGAGGGGAGCGATCGCTCCCGCGCGCCTCCAAGCTAGTCGTGTGCGAGTTGGGCCCTTCTTACCTGCCGCTCTCACGCGCTGTAATGTAGACGTCGATGCACGCCTTCTATTAACTGCACATAAATAACCCTAAAGACGCGCGCCGCGCCCAGAGCGGCCCGGAGGGAAGGCCACTGGGCAGCCTGCCCCTCGGCGTGCCTGTCGGCCAGCCTCGCGGACCGCACCGGCACCGGGCCGTCCCCGCACAGTGGGCCAGAAGACCGGTAGGGGCGGCCAAAACTCTAGACGCGTTTTGAGCTCCAGAGTCGCTAAACAGGACTCGAACCGAACGTGTGACCCCACCAATGGATTCCTCGCTCGGAGAGCAATCCATTGGTGGGGTCACACGTTCGATTCTGGGGCTCAATACGCGTCCGGAACTTTGACCGCCTCCACCCGGTCTTCTGGCCCACTGTGCGCCGCAGTCCCGCCGCTCGGACGGACGCACTTCGCGAAAGCGTGCGCCTCTCAAAAGCAGTCACAGCGAGGAATGCAGCCGTCACACTTGTCCAGCGACGCGCCTGGAGGCTGGCCTTTGGCTGGCGGCTGGCTGGCCGGCTGTCGCTGGAGGCTGGCCGGGCCGGCGGGCAGGAATGCTAAACGCAACAGGAGGCTGGATGAACGGACAGCCGCGTCTCAATCGAGGCGGCCGGTCAGTGCGGGGCCGCGGGGCCGCGGGGCCAGTGCCGGCCAGTGCCGGGGCTCGTCGCTGATTTATGGCCTCGCGTGTGTTGAGCTCCGAGGCGCCCAATTCGCGGCGCCAAAGGCAGCCAAGGGCCCCAGTGTGCTGGCCAGTGTGCTGGCCGCCGTGGAGGAGGACGTCGTCTTCCACGGCCTGGACGACGCCGACCCCACTGGAAAATAAAGTCAAGATGAAGGTTTACTGTATACAGTCGTCTTGAAAGCAACGTGACCTACAGGGTACTTGAACTTGACCGAGGAAATCAACTCAGTTTCAGTCGATTCAATCTCCGATTTCTTTGGCAGTGCCGTGTCGCACGGGGAGTCCGGGTCCCTGCTTAGCCCGTAAATAGCGCCCTGGGCGGGTGGCGTCGACGACATCATGCGAGGGGGCACTGTCGGAAGCAGCAGACGAGCGGGAAATTTAAACACTGCGCGATGATTCCCCGCTGGAGTTTCGCTTTTGTTCTGATTCGTTTCGTAATCCTCCCGCGAGAGTGCGCGCTGGGGTCCGCTCCAATTCGCCGCGGCTCGATCGCGCCCAGTCAAAGTTTGACCTCGTCTTAGCGGGTCGGGCGGCGTCGGGCGGCGGCGGCGTCAGGTCGCTGCCGGGGAGACGCCACTCTCACGTCACAGGCTGTCCCAAAGTTGCGGGCCGAGGCAGCGCGGAGCAGGGCGAGGCGGAGGCAGCGCCACTGCCGGTACACTGGAAGCAGCCCAAAAAATTGTTCTCCTCGCTCTTTTCCTCCGTGTAGAAAACGGTCAAGCCTGCGTCTGCGCGGCGAGCAGACGCGAACCTGGGCCGAAAGGAAAAGAATGATCTGTGAAAGAATGCGAAATTAAATTGGGAGCCGTTCATGCGTTTTCGAATCCGGGATTGATATCGAGGGTGCATAATGGTGGCTAATGATGTTTCCCCCTCGCTTCGTCCCCGCGTCGCTGCGTCGCCGCGTCACCGCGTCCCTCGCGTCGCGCGACAGCTGTCACTGGCCAGAACGGCGTATGTCAGGGGCGGGAGGTGGGAGTTACGCTTTTGTGTGTCCAGCGGCCCGGACACACGTCTCGCTGGCCGGACGCGGCGTGGCGGGGCGGCGGGGCCCTGCGACCCAAACCTAGCGTGGCGCCGCATTCCTGCAGCCTATCACAAAAAAATGCAAACTATTTTCAAAAACGAAAACTTTTCCCCCCTTTTTGATAAGAACTCCGCGGCGTGTGCGGTCGTGGGGCCGGTGGCGGCGCGTGACAACCAAGTGACGGCAAAACAAACCCAGAGCCCCACCCGAGTGATCCGAGGAAAGCTCTAAATCAAAGTCCCCTCCTCCACGTCCTCCACCGGGACGTGCAGTGGCCCACCAGGCCCACCAGGCCCACCAGCCTGCCTCTGGTTCGCCCCCTGCGACGACTGTGGGTCCCACCTCGGAAACCTCCAATCAGATACACGCCAAAAAAAAATCCAGGAAAAAAATTCTCCCTTTGAAACCTAATTTTAAAACTGGCTCCTTCTTCAACTTGTGCGTCTAGTGTAAGACTGCGCGCGCCGTTGCCCTGCTCGCCGCAGCGGATGCGCGCCGCGCCGAAAAACTGCAACACTATTAATCACTCCGGACAAAACAAAGCGGGCAAAACAAAAGACATTGTCGGTCGCAAAGTTAACACGCGGAGTAGAGACAGAGTAGAGCAGCGGACAATGTGCCGCATTCCCCCGCGGCCAGCGCGGCCAGCAGCGCCGTGCCGTGACAAGTCGAGTGCGAATTTGGGGCGGAGAGAGGCAGCCCGCGATTGGCCAACAACCTCCTTGCTTTAGCCCGTTTCATCCGACACCTTGAGCACTCCCCCTCCCCCGCGTCCTCCTCCGCTGTCGCCGGCCGGCTCTTCTTATCGGGGGGAGCTTCGACTAATAGAACCTCCCAAGCGCAAAATGAGCTCTAAACCTCACATGATAACTCTATAAATCCTTGCCGCGGTACCGCCCAGCTCGCGCGTGTGTTTGTGTGTGTGTGCGTGCGTGTGTGCGTGCGTGTGTGTTGTCGCACTGCACGCCGCCCCAGCGTGCCCCAGCGCGCAGGAAGGGCCATAATTTTTGCTTGTCCGCGGCGTGATGCGCGCCTCCCTTCGCCCTCCCCCCTTGACGCGGGGAGCGCGGTGCATTTGCGGACTGAGGCAACCGCATGCCAGTTGTGGTAGTCCTCCTCCTTCGCCATGCCGATGAGAGGGGGAGGAAATTTTTCCTAAATTCACCTTTGACATTTCCCCCTGAAAGAAATTGAAAATTATGAACATGTCGGGGGGATTAACTGACAGCTTTTTGAAGTGCTCTGATATTTTTTCCAGCTTTTGTGTCGAAAGATTTCGTGTCTTCCTATCCATCTTTTTGTTTTTGTTTTTCTGATCAACAACAATAATGATCATGTTGTTGGAAACCGACACGGTAATGTCGAGCTCGGTTTAACGCTTTTGTTTTTCTCGTTTTCAGACCCACGTGAGTACCGCGGATTTTCTTTCGACACTGCCAAGGCGCCAACCTGAGAGGTGAACCCACCCACGGCGTTAGATCAACATCTTTCCGCACTGTTCTCACGATAAGTTTGCTCATTTTGTATGGAGTGTCCTACATCGTATTGTGCCGACCATTTTCCTCGTTTGTGCTCAAATTCGCACGAGAAATGAAAATGTGTGCAGAACCATGGAAGACACTCTTACAAAATTGCGCATAAAATCTTTAGTGTGCTCGGTTGATCTAACGCCGTCCTGGGTGGAGCACAGCAAACCCGCCCCTCCAAGTTAGTGTCAAAGGCGACAAAAAAAAGCCTTTTCATTGAATTTGCTTTTGGATCCCTTCTTGTGAGTATTCACCTCTCAGGTGCTTTCTTTTGATTCTTACTCTAGCTATGTAAGCGCGAGGCATAAAGGGGAGCGCCCCGCCCCGTCCCGCCCCGCCTGACAGCCGAGAGCAACTTCTGTCAGCAGCTTGTCCCGTGTGTCTCCGAGTCATTAGGCAAGGGGTGGAGGTTCGCCACGTTCGCCGCCGCGACAGGTCCGTCTTGACAAATCGCGATAGAAGGAGGTCGCGGGGCTCGGTTGCGGGGATGTGGGGCATTTGACGGGGCGGCGCGGCCCGGGTTCGAATCCCCCCCGCGCCCGGAGCACAATTTTTTTTTCCTGGTGTGCGTTGATGCGCCTCGAGTCAGTGCCACTTGCAGCGCCTCGTCCCCGCAATTACGTCATTTATTCTCCACGCCGATTGACAGCAAAATGGGGGTCTCGTTGGAGACGGCGCCGCGACGAGCGCCGCGACGCCAACGACTAGGTGCTGCTAAAGTGGCACCGCGACGCCAGTCACGCCGCCAGGCTGTCGACCTCAGCCAAAGACCCCTCCGCGAAACGCTGTTGCAGAGAGAAGGGGGGAGACAACCAGGAAACTCTTTTTCTTTATATTCACTCCTCCGGCCTTGCGTCTGTCTGGCCGGTGTCGGTGTGATAATTAACATAAACTGGTTCTCGTCCGCCGAGCAGCAGCAGCGCCGGCAAGTGCGCACGCAAGTTGATTAAAAACAAAATGGCGGCTCCCGGAGGCGGATAAAAACAAAAGTGGGGAGTTGGAAGGAGAGGGTTGAGGTTTAGGACCCCCTGGCGAGGCACCTGCGTGGACTGCGCGGTAGCTGCAGCCAGCAGGCAATCGAGAGGGCCTCCCCGTGGCGTGGCGCGGCGTGGAGGTCACCCGGAGTCTCGTCGCGGTGTCCAGCAGGCGCCGCCCCACCCAGGCCCCTCCACGGGCCGGCGCCAGGCCGCCAGGCCCCGCCTCCCAGCGCGCCGCCCGCCCCCCGCGACACCGCCACGCCCCGCCGCGCCCTCCGTGGGGCCACCACCGCGTGTCATACTTTTGCCTCATCGTTCGTCTTGGACCGTGATTGACACGGCCCGATACTTCCCCCACAATGCACGCCCGTGACGTCACGCATTGACCAGGTCGGAGCGAGAGAGACAGGGGCGCGGCGCGGGCCGCCGCGGAGCGAGAGGGAGCGAGAGGAGAAAAAATGGAGAATTAATGATGTGCGCGCGAGATCGGCGGGCCGCTGAGGAAGGGGAGTGAATGTGTGTCTGTCTCTATGGATGTGTGCCTGTGTGTGTGTGTGCGTGTATGTGTGTGTGTGTAAGGGGCCCCTTCTGCCACGCGGGCATTGGGCTAAATGGATGGTTCCGGTTCGATTCCCGTGGCAGGCGAGGAAAAGGGAAATTGAATATTACGCACGGAAGGACGGGTACCATCCGCGGGGAAAATAAAGTGTGTTTGAGGAACGCGGCTGGACGCGGCGGGGCGCGGACTCGCGTCGGGAAAGGCCGTGTTCTAGTTGTTGCTGGCGGCGATGCTGCTGCTGACGGACCGGGGCAACGGTCCCGCTGACATCCATCGTGACAGGGGCACCGGCCCAGCCAAGCCCTCCCGTCCGCCGCGCGGACGCAAGGCAAAAGCAAGGCGGCAGAGAAACACTTCACTTTTCGAAAAAAAATTCGACAATGCAAAAAAAAGTGATTCAAAACCCCCGCCGCTAATTCTGTCCTTGAATTCCCAGCCTTCGGAGTGCTTTTCTTTTCTCTCTCTTTCCCCGCGGCGCTCAAAGCGGCCGCGCTCCCTCCCTCCCTTTATCCGCGGCGAGACGACGATTGTCGCATCATTAATAATTATCCAACGACCGCCGCCTTGCGCCGCCACCGCAAAAGTTTTGTGTTTGTTTTTATTTTTTTTATTTTTGTTTTGTTCCCAAATTGAAAACGCGTCGTCGTGTCTGTACTTGCTGGGTATTTAAAAGCGACGGCATGGCTGAGCTTGGCGTGTGGGTTCCTGCTTGGCTCGCCGGGGTTGGGGATGGGGTTGGGGATGGGGTGTTCCCGTAACGCACCAGCTCACGCACCTGGAGTGTGATAGCGGCCCGACGGCCGCCCCGGCCTCGGCCCCGGCGCCTCCCTCGCTATCGTCCCTCGGCATCGCCGCCAAGGCCCCCGAGATGATGACTGCTTTGCCCGGAACGGACGCAAACAGACGCGGAGGGTTGGGGAATAATAAGTACTAACCTCAACGACTTTGCATGAAAAACTTTCTCATTTTCTCCCGAATCGCGTATATAAAATGCGGCCGCGCAAATTACAAAGGCAGCGCGAAAGTGATTATGGAGTGCGCGGGCCGCGGTGCAACAGGTCATGCTCCCGGTGGGGCGGGGCGGGGCGGGGCGCGCTACGGTGGTGCTGCTGGCGTGCGGTGGGCCTGTTGCCTGATCAGTCGATGCAGCGTCTTCACAAACGACCTCATTTACACGATTGTATCGGCCCCTCCTCCGAGCCTCCAAGCCTGCGCCGACGCTTGACACGCCACGCGATGAGTCCCGGACAACGCACGTCCACGTCAACAAACTTACAGGGGGAATTTGTCCGGCGGGTATCGAGACCGTGGCCCCGCGCGTCTCGGCTGCGCTGCGGCCGTCCAAGGAGAGCCTGGCGGTGGCGGACGCGCTGACGCCGAGGTCGACGGTCTGCTGGGCGCGGCGGCGGCGGTGTTGTTGGCGAGTGGGAATGCGTGTTAGGCGCGGCGGGGCTGGCGGGGCTGGCGGCCGGGCGGGGCAGACGAGGCTGGCAGAGCGTCAGACACAAGACGTGCAATCAGTCAAGACCGGGCAGCCAGTCCGCGACCAGGGCCGAGGCTTGCATCGGCTCGCCTGCGTTCCTCGTCCTTCGTCCGCCAGTGGCGTTGGTGCTGGCAGTGCAGCGATGGTGATAAGCAAGCCGTCACGCGCCGCCACGCCCCGTCACTCCGCCCCGTGCGGGTGACGCGTGTGACACCGGCGTGACGGGCCGCGTGCGCACTGTCACAGGCGGCGACGACGACGGCACGAGCTGGCGCACCGCGCGCGGAATGGAGGCGTTCTTCAGGGACTCGGGCAGCAGGGCGACGACGCGAACGCGACGCAACGCGAAGCAACGCGAAGCTGTCACGCGGCGAGAGGCCTTTGGTGTCCTTTGGTGCACGGCGGCGGGGCGTGGCGGGGCGGCGGGGCGGCAGCGCGGCAGCAGCACGAAGCGCGGACAGGCGGCCGACAAGGCTAGGCAGCTGCGCATCTGCGGCGCGCGGCCCGGCTGCTGCAGCTTACGTCGCCGATGACGTCACGCCGCCGATTCGGCTCATCTCCTCAAACAGAAAAATGGCCCGGATTTGCCGGCCGCCGCACGGCCGCCGCGGCTCGACATTCTCGGACAAAACCGACACACACACACACACACACACACACACACACACACACACACGTGCGCGTCGGTGGTTGCGCTAGGCAAACTGTTTTCCGAGCAAGGCGTGCGACGCGGGGCGACGTCGCGAAGCGTTGACGGTACTCCACCCGTGTCGCCTTCCCGTCCGCTCCTCGGAAGCGTGTTTGACGTCCGCCTCCCCCGCCGGCCGCCCCTCCCCTCCCCCCCCCCTCCCGAGGCCGTCGTCGTGGCCGTCGTCGTGGCCGTCGGCGACGATGCGCCGGACGTTGGTCCATGTCGGCGGCGACAAGCTCTTTCTCTCTGAAGGCGCGGCGTGGCGCGGGCGCATCGCGGGGCAGCGGTCCAACTGACTGCGCGCGTTCGGAAAAAAGTTTAATAATCGTTTATTTTGATGAAATTGGACTTGGTCGAAAGCGACGCGACGAGTGCGCTCCAGCAGCGCGACGGGGCCCATGTGGTGCGCCCGGAACGCGGAGTCGAACAAGTCGAACGCACGCAGACGGTCGCAGACACTCCTCCGGCGCCACATAAATCAAAAAGCGGGCACCCACTATAAAAAGTAATCAGCGTAAACAAAACGTGTGTGCGCAGCGTGCGTGTGTGAGTGTGTGTGTGTGTGCGTGTGACGCCGCCAAAGAGTATTAATTGCCGAAATGTGCAGTGAGCCGAGCGCCACCACATGGCTTCACTTTCTTCCGCTGCCTAGGGTCCTTCCCTCCTCGCCGTCCGTCTGTCTGTCTGTCTGTCTGTCCGTCTGTCCGTCTGCCCCCGTCCGTTCGTCCACCATACTCTCTCCTGTCACAGAAACACGGCCGGGTAAGTTCCTGTTGACCTGTCGGCTTATGTTGGTATCCTTCTCGCCTCCCTTGTGCCCCCTGGGGAAAGGCGGCCTCGCGGGGGAGGATGTGTGAGTAAGGAAGACGTGCGAGAGAGACGGACAGTCAGAGGGACAGACTGCGTCCGGACGGACGGACCGACGAACATGGTCTAGATCGGGAAGGTTCGGCAGCCAAAATTCGGCCGTCGTATCAAAACCAACAACTGTCCCGTCCAAGAGTGCGTCCGTTCGTCCGCGGCCCGCGTGCCTGTGCCGTCCCTCCACCGCGAGGGGGCCGTGGGGGTCCTCTGGGGCGCGGCGGCGCGGCGCGCGTCGGCCCCGAGCCCCTGGAGGCTCTGACGGCCCTGACGGCCCAGCGGCGCGCGGCTGTCTCTTTAAAAATACATTTCTCTCTCGGCGCCGAGCCGTCCCGGTAATTGCTTTCTAAACGCACAAATTGTCTCGGCCGCGCTTTAAAGAGCCGTGACAGGGGCGCTACCTTGCGAGGACATCCACATTCACATTGGGGTTGGGTGCGAGGGCCGGTCCGGGGATCGCATGACCCACATTCACATCGGGTTTGGGTCTCAGGTGCGGCCGTGTTGGTCTAGCCAGGCCGGGTCGTACCGATCTGTACCTCACATTCGCATTGCGGTTCGTCGGCTATTTTCCGCCGCGGATTGGGCGCCGCGGTGATGAATCGCAGCGCATGCCCGGCCAGCCCGCCCGGTTGTTTTGTCTTTTCGCTAGTTTCGGATCAACGCTTCAACGCGCCGCAAGATCCGAAAATCCGTTCGGCCGGCGGGCCGTGGCGGGGCGGGGCGCGGCGGGCGAGCCTGGCCGAGCGACGCAGACAGACAAACAATACACACCGAGCCATTCATCGCCGTCGCCCTGATGGTCCCTGATCCCGGCGTCGTCCTGCTCCTGATCCCCCCGACGGCCTCCCAGCTGCCCCGCACTGCCCCGCCGACGCGGACGACCGGTGCCGATTGTCACAGTGCCAACAAAGGCTGGCAGGTGTGCCTACAATGGGCGCTAGACGCCTAGAACTCCTAGAACGGCCTGGACGAGGCGGGTACCCGGTACGCGAGTGCCGGGACGCCCTGCTAGCTGGTTACCCGATCGGCACTCGGTGGACGGGGCGCCAGGAGAGGAGACACTTTTCGAGCTGGTCGCACTCAAGTGGAGCCTCCAATCGTCGCGCCCTTCAGACGAGACACCTCGCTACTGTTGCTAGACCTGAGAAAGTGTTCCCAGGCGCACGGTGGTACCCGCTTTACGCCGTTCGCTACCGTGGCTGGCCAACGCCTCTGGCCGATTGGTCTTGCACGGCGACGTTCTGAAAAAGATGAGAAATGTATTCGCCGCTGCGCGTGTGGGCGTGTGGGCGCGCCTAGACAGGGGCTTAGGCATTTATTCGAGTCGCCAAGCGCCGCGATGCGCCCCGCCCCGCCCGCGCGGGGTGGTCCTGGCGGGCCGCTGGCGGGCCGTGCGACGAGGACGCAACAGGTGCGCTGCCAGGGTGAGAGAGAGAGAAACGGGGCGAGAGAGAGCACACACGGCCCGTAATACGGAAAGCGTGTAGTACCCGTGACCTCATCGCAGCCCCAGTTTATCCCGGTATCAAAACAAAACCGAAAAAACTACTTACTTTGCGTACTCGACCCGCTCGGGCGGTACTACTTGACATTCGACCCGCGCCGCAGCCACTGTGGGCGTCAGGCTCGATTCACCTCAAACTGACCCTGCTAGAGACCGCAAGCCGGCGCGGCCCCAGGGGACCCTCCTCTCTCTCTCTCTCTCTCTCTCTCTCTCTCTCTCTCTCTGACTCTCTTTCTCCGCGGGGACCGTATGAAGGAAACTAAAAAAACGCGAAATAATTCCTCGCTGCGAAAACGTACGGCACCCAGGGGACGGCCTGCGGCGTGCGCTGGGTCGCCTCCGAAATGCGGCCTGGCCTCGGGTTTGCCCTCATTGCCCGCTAATGCAGACACACGGTCGCTTGGACGCGGTCCGACGGGCCTTTGGCCTGGAGGCGGCCTGGAGGCGGCCTGGAGGCGGCCTGGAGGCGGCCTGGAGGCGACTGTTGCACCTCGTTCTCTTTTCCCTTTTCCCATACCGTAAGGTTGTCGAAAAGACTCAGAGTGATTTTGCCCTTGTGATTGGGAGTTGTCACGCTGCCCCCCCCCCCTTTCGGCCGCGTTCAGGACCCGCTTGCAGGAGAGGCCTCGCCCTGGAGCCTGGCCTGGAGGGGCCCGGCTGCTGGAACGCTGCTGGAACGCCCCGTCCGTCCGAAGAGACAGTCATCCCGCGGAACGGGTTGCAGGCCGGCCGCTGATTGGACGAGATTGGAGGGGAATCGCACGCAATCAGCCAATCACACTGCTCTGCCTGCCTCGGTGACAAGGCGCGTTGGATGTCTGCGCTGTAAACAGAGAGAGAGAGAGAGAGAGAGAGAGAGAGAGAGAGAGAGACACGCCACACGGCCGGCGGAATGCCTCGGCGGCGACAACAGTGGCGTGTGCGTCGTCGTCGGGGAGGTGCGGCGGCCTGGTGGCGGCCGACGGGGTGCTCCAAGTGGCCGTGATGGTGACTGACACTTGGCCAATGAGCGAGCGGTTTGTCGTCCGCCCTTTCTGCTGAGTAATCCCCGAGCCTCCATGCCTCCATCGAGACCGTCGCCGTCACCCGCATGGCCACTGAATGCCTGCCACCCTGTCCCCGCCTGGCCGGCTGCTGCCGGCTGGCCCGGATTAGGGATTAAAATGGAGGGCTGTCAATCCCTCGTCACAGTCCCTTGAGGCGTCATGTCGGTCGGGTCGGGTCGCTGAGAGTGGCAGGGCGGCCCCCCCATTGGCCGCCGAGCGGCAGCGCGCCACGGCAGCCAATGGCAGACCGGGATTTGCAAGTTTGCGACGGGGGAAGGGACAAGTTGTTTTTGTTGTCGTGCGTGCAGTGCTGTTTTTGCTGGCGGAAATTGCGGCGCTTGGTTCCGGCGCTTGGTTGCGGCGCGGCCGCGCTTCGTGACGCTGTTTCCTTTTTGCTGACGCGCTTGTCTTTGTCCGCAGGCACCGTCAACGCCAACGGTGAAACGAAGCGGCAGCGGACGTCCTACACGCGGTACCAGACGCTGGAGCTGGAGAAGGAGTTCCACTTCAACCGCTACCTCACGCGGCGCCGGCGCATCGAGATCGCGCACGCCCTGTGCCTCACGGAGCGACAGATCAAGATCTGGTTCCAGAACCGGCGCATGAAGTGGAAGAAGGAGCACAAGATGGCCAGCATGAACATCGTGCCGTACTACCACAACATGAGCATGTCAGCCATGACCAACTACGGCGGCTACCCCAGCCCGCACCAGTTCGCCCCGCCCGCGCACCACGCGCAGTTCACGCACCTCACCACCTAGTATTAGACCGCCGTGTCGATGGGGAACCTGGGGAACCTGGCCAACCTGGGGAGCAGGGCGGGATCGGCCCTCAACGCCGCCCTGGGCCCCAGCTTCGGCTCGGGCTCCGGTCCAGGCTCCGGCCCAGGCTCAGGCCTCGGCTCAAGCGCCGGCCTGGGGCCCCAGAGGGGTGCCCCCGACCCCTGGGCCGGCGTGCCTGGCGTCCCCGGTGTCCCCGTTGATACGGACTTCAAGTACAGCCCGTCGCCGCAGCCCCCCGGCGAGGACTACTGGTGAAGGACTGGTGAGGTGGCGGCTGGTGGGGCAGCCGCGGGGCGGGGCCGGCCTCAAAGTGATAAAACTGTGCGAGTGGACGCTGCAAGCTGCAACGAGGAGTAGTAGTTAAGTAGTTTTACGGAAAGGATTAAGAAAATAATTACTTCGTTCGTAGGGACGGTTTTCACATAGCGCCCTAGGGGTGTTATACCTTATTCTACTAGTCACATTAAAAAATTAAAATGAAAGGACTCTGAATTGAGATTTTCGTATCGACTCGGTGTAGTTTCTAAATTTGTTCTTTATATGAGTGAGAATGTGAATTTTGTTCTTTTTTTATGGAATGGGGATCCCCCCACAGTCGAGCGATGAAGGAAGACTGCTAAAAGGCCTTGGCTTGTTCATACCTGGTTGTCATTTTCTTGTTCTCTATAGCCTCGCCTTGTCTCGTAGGTGAATCGCAATTCGAAATCTGCATCCTGGGTTTTGTTTAAACTCACCAAACTGTTGTTAAGCTTTTTGATTTGTATCGCTGTGTTTGTGTATCTGGAATGTGATATTTGATATTTTGTGCACATATAGCTGAATTGATGTAGTTAATTTGGTTTGAACATGTCTAACAGTGATATTAGTTGTCTACAGATATAGGTTTATATACTCGAATAGTGTCAAAGCTACAAACAAACCATCAAGGGCAATTTGTTTTTATTTGTCACATTTACTGACGTTATGTGTACCGTGCTTTAATGTGAGCTGTCATTTGTTAGTTAATTTGACTGCTTCTATCTACATTAAGTAATTGTTTGGTAACATTCCATTGGTGTCTTTTCACCAAAATATAGACACGTTTTTAGAGAAAAACAATACGAAAGCAAAATATTAATTTACTTTGAGGCTCAAAGTATTCCTGGATGTCGAAAATTCAATATTTGGCGATAGATTGCTGCTAAAGTAATCGTTTTGAATGTTACATTTGCCATAATGGTACAAGTAGATAACTGAAACGAGATCGTAGAATGTTCAAGCAGTTCCTGTTCGAGCAACATTTTTTTTTTGCACCCTTGGTAATTGGGTCACATAGATGACGTGGAGATGGTGTTTGGCCTGATTACCGTCTTCAAAAGAATAGAAGTTGTTGCTCAAAAGCACACGGTCCCTGCGCATAGCGCACTGGCGCTACATTGATCTCAATTTCGTGGGAGCAAGTGTGCTCTAAAAACAAAACGTTAGGAACACAGTTTCGTTTTTAGAAGTGTATTGTACATTTTGTGTAATAGATTTTGAGACTTATGTTTGTTTCATTCGTTTTTGTTAACAAATTACGTTGTGTCATTATTTTTTGTTGAGTGTACAGACCTATTTGAAAGCTGGTTACGTTCTTTTGATTTAAATGTTATGGCCAATTTTCTTTTCTGTAAAAGTTAAAAAGGTTTCTTGTTGTAAAGTAATTGATATATTTGTACCTTTGCACATTCGTCTTCGTCAAATTTTTATGAGACCTGTTACATCTTGTACAATCCTGTGCTGGGGTGTCTTTAGTACGAGGAAAAATTTTGCTTCAAACCAAATACTGTACATGAGAGTGCGTGCAGAAAAACTCAAATACGTAAACTTGATTTAATCTTATTTAAGAAACGAAAAGAGTGCAATTAATTTTCTGAGTCATTGTATACCAAATCCTGTTGCAGATTAGAAGTTTGTTTTTGTTAATTGTTCGTCAATAAACTCAACTGCACTCATTACCGACCGAGTCGTGTCTTTGCGACACAGACATCAAAACGCACCGTACTTCTGATTCTTAAGACCCAGTATTTTTTATAAACATACAATATATATTTTGCATATAGCTTAACTGTGTAGTGATGATCGTGTACACATATTTCATCGTCCTACGGCCCGATCCTGTGATTTGATAGGACGACCAAATTTTGACATAATTGTTTTATTATTATTTATCTATTGTTTTATTCTGTAAAATGTTTCAACCCCTTATAAATAATGATTATAATTATTATAGAAATGTCGTAAAGTGTCTATACTGTGTACAAAACAAATTTTATGGAAATAAAAAGTGCAATAAGACCTTATGCGTTCCAAAACGAGAAACAAGCATTTTCTTTTCTTTTTTTCTTCCTTTCTTTTTCGTTGTTTTTCACCCTACCCCAGACGACGACAGCTTGAAAGGAAACACACATTTTACTTTCTAGTGCTCATGAGTTGCTCGGTCTGAGCCGCCCGGTTATTTGTTTCACCGTTCAAGCAATAACAGCGAGTCCCCCTGCCGCTCCGCCGCCCCGCCGCTCGGCCGCCGCTCTTCCCCGGAATGCCAAAGTTGTTCTGCCTGCTTATTTCGAAACCACGCGCCCCTCTGACAGCGCGCGCCGAAACGCGCGGCCAAAAAGTCTCAGAGGTCGGTGGGAGGAGCGAACAAGCATCAGTCACCTCATCACGCCAACGGACCAAAAATGGGTATTATTTGCCGCGGATTGCTCGGCGGCGTCGCTCCACGCACAGGAAACACTTTCAGTCAGCTGACTGCGTGGGCGGGGCGCGAGGGGTCTCTATGTTCTTCTTCCCTTTCGCTTCCAGAGCGCTATCGCTTTGCCATCCATCACCGAACGGCATGAACAACAAGGACCGCGTCATCTTGATGCGGAAGTAGCGCACAGTCCCTTTGGCATAACCTTTTTCACACGCACACTCACACACACACAGGCCGCTCTAGCTGGCCGCCCGGCCGTGTCGATGGAGACATCGGGGGCGCCAATGGTCAGCCAGATTAATGGACTTGGGCCGGACAGCCCAGCAGCCAGTCCACGGCAGCCAGTCCACGGCAGCCCCCGGAGTCACCGAATCATCCCTCCAGCATCTCCAGGCTCTGCTGGCGCTCCAGGTGCAGAACATCTCCCGCGGCCCGGAGTCCGGAGAGGCGCTGGCTTTGGCGGTGACTTGACGGCGGCCCTGCTCCGCGCGTCTCTCGCTCTCTGCATCGCTCTGCGGTTCGCGCTGCTGCCGCCGCGGTCCGTTTCCGTGACACTCGCACGATTAGCAAGTCAAGCAGGACCACATCCTGGCCGGCCCCGTCAGTCGCATACGGTGACCCGGTGACCAGCCGTACCGAGAACCCGAAGAAGAAGAAGAAGAAGAAGAAGAAGAAGAAGAAGAAGAAGAAGAAGAAGAAGAAGAAGAAGAAGAAGAAGAAGAAGCGTCAATGAGACAAAACAGGCCCCGAATCAATCAGGCAATCAGATCGCCGGTCAATCAGTCAATCAATGACTCAACGAGGCCTCCTCCGCTATGCCTCCGCGGTGTCAGTGCGGCGGAGCGGCGGTGTGGAACGAACAAGCGGCGCTACCTGAGCCAGGCCTGAGCCTCCGCGGCGTGATTGCCCCCCGGGCACAAGCAGCCGTTGATTTGGGGGGGAGGGGGGAAGGGGGGCCCGTCTTGAACGCGTGGCAAAAAGCGGGGCTGAGGTAATGCGGCCTAAGTGGACGCCACCGTAGGACACACCAGGACGCGACAGTGATTCAATTTGCGTCCCCGCCTATTGAGCGCGTCTCCCGGCGTGACGTTACCGCCTGTTACCGCCGCCCCTTCCAGGACGACGACGGCGACGACCTGGACGGTGAATATTACGGGTGCATTGTGTAGCCGGGGCCTTCGGCCTAGGCCGCGTCGCGGTCGACTGCGTGCACGCCGTGAACGCCGTGAACGCGGAGGAGCAGATCGGCTTCCTCCACGCTGGCGTCACTACGAACGCGTTTTCGGCCCACTGTCCACCAGTTAGAAGCTTCGTCGTGCGAAGGGGCTGGCCGATTCTCAACCCGTTCGGGCAGCTCGAAACGGTCCAGAGCTGTTCCATCGTCTGGTCGTGGAAGGTCTGGCCCCCGCCGTACGCACTCCTTGTCATCGCGTCCTGTCCGTATGTCTCTCCGCCAGTCGCTGCAGCCCGTGCGTCCGTCCGTTTGCATCTCCCGCGAGTCTTTCTCTCCCCCTCCCCACCCCGCCGCCCCGCCGACCGACAGTGATAGATAATCCGTCAAGTCGCCCTCCTCGCGCCGCGCCGGGCCGCGCTTTCCCGCCCCGCCACCGCACTACTGCCCCTGTCCTGCCCTCGCGGCACCGCGCCGCACCGCGCCACCTTCAGGCCTTCAGTGTTGCACCCCGCGTGTCCTTCCGTTTGGTCCGGCTCGGTGGCGAGGCGAGTTAGCACCACGTGATGAGCTAGTGACGCGGCGACGCGATCACGGTAAAAGAAATTTAGGGGTATTGATGAATGGTCTAAAAGGAGTCAATGTTGCATCCGGGCTTAGACCACGGCTTACGTAGTGCAGCCAACTTTCGTACCTGCCGGGTCTTAGACGGATCTCTCTTGTATCCGTTAAAGACCCGGTTTCGCGGAAGTTGCGACAAACACTGTCGCTGACACGCTCACGTCACGGCCTCGGCAAGTGTCCCAGCGCTGAGACCTTCCAAAGCCGAAACGTGCATAGCTTGTCAGAACATGGCCATACAGGCATCAGCCGCGCGGATCCGTGACAAGATCCAACCCGCGGTGCTGACATCACACCAGGCATGCCTCGGACCCCTTCCAGCAATCGGCACACGGGTGTCGTATATATGCCGCGTGAGTGTCCCCGACACCGCCACCGAGAGGGTAGGGCCAGGCTCCCTTCGCGGCCGAGGCGCCGCCGCCGACGTCCGGCTTGGCCGCGAGGGCCCCGCGCGGTCACTTCCCCGGCCATCGCCGGGCAGGCCGCCCCCCGGCCGCGCGTCCGACGCTCCCTTCCAGCGATTTTGCTGCACGCAGCACGCCGACACGACCGCCAGCGCCCCTAGCGGCCCTGGCGCGCACCGGGCCGCCGCCTACGCGAGGGGTATCGGCGGCCATACTCCGCCAGCGGCCCCCGGCGATACCCCTCGCAGACGAGCGGCGGGGAAGGCCAGGAATACCCCACGTGGCGCGCGCGTTCCGGGAATACCCCCTGCGCGTCGCGCGAGGCGTCTGCCTGCCGTTTTGCGGGCAGGATGGGCGGGCTACTACTGCGGTCTGGGGCCCAAACAGGCCGCGTTCAGGATGATGCCCTCTCTTTGTGTGCTTCGCGGTGCTATGGCGCTGCCGCCGCCACGCGGCCCCAGGCGGCCCCCGCCGCAGCAGCGCCGCGGCACCGCGCCGATGTCCGAAATAGCGGGGCTCGGGGGAGCACTCCATTACACTGGCGGCGGTCAAAGTTCACGGCACTCTCGCCCCATCCGTCGACGCCACCCTGCCAGAAGCCAGCAGGCCCAACTGCGCTCTCGTCGCACTCGTGGGGGTGCGAGAGAGACAGAGCGGCTGTCTGCAAACGGCCGGATGTGACCTGGTGACGCGCGCGGAAGTGCAGTGAGTTCTAAATGGGAGAGAGCACGCCGTGGATAGGCAACACGGTCTACGGTGGCGGGGGCGGTGCGGCGGCACTCTGCTACTTAGAGGGACTGACTCAGCTTATTGTTCTGGTTGCACAAGCGGGCGAAACCGAGGGCCGAGGGGGCCGAGGTAGCGAGGGGCGGCTGTTTTCCAAGGTGGCTCGGGAGATTTCGGGTGAAACAAGCAAAGGCCCTCACATCGCCTGTATTAAACGCCTCTGGCTCGCGCGGGATTTGGCCTGCGCGGTTGGCCGCTGGCAGCTGCCGCGGAGGACGGCGTCGACCGGCGCGCCACCGCGTGCGGGAGGCTGTTTTGTCTGGACGACGCGGAGAAACTCGGCTGCATGCACCAGGCCGGGGAAGGGTGGAGAAGGGCGGAAACGCATGGCAGAAGGTGGAGCGGAGCGGGGGCGGCGGGACCTGCGGGTGCGACGGAGCGCGGGGACGGTCCGGGGACGGAGCGAAGGGAGAAAGGGAGAAAGGGAGCGGCCGTCATAGGGCAGAAATAGCCCGTAGGGCAGCGGGGCGCAGCGCAGCACAAGGGTCCCTTCGCGCGTCGCTTTCCCCGTGTTTTATCCGCGCTTCATTTTCTCGTTTTCTTCTGAAAGGGGGTGGGGGCAATCCAAACAGCCTCCCCGGCCCGCTGGGGGGCCCCCAGCCCCCGCGGCCCCGCAGCCCCCACCCTCCGCCAAGGGGAGCTGAACACAACGCAGCGGCAGAACCAAGCAGCCCGTCGACGCGGCCGCACCGCCAGCACGCCGACGACGCCCTCCGACACCGCGAGCGCCACCACGCCGCCGGCACCGAGCGGTGCAAGCGGCCACCGGCCGGCCGACGAGCAGCAGGCGAAGCAGTGCAGCGACTCCGACGGCAGCACGCCGTCAACGGCAGGTGTGACCGCCACCAGCAACCACGTGAGTAGCGCCACCAACGTCGTGCTCCAAGTTTTGAATTGATTTCGATGCAATGTCCTCCCACCCCTTTGATGACCGACTGTAAACAAAGAAAAAATGGCCGCTTTAAAATCGTCATAATTATGGTATGGTCAGTTTCTTATGCATCTTTTCGTGTAGTCTCATGCGCTGCCTGTTAGACGATTCGGTCTACGTAATCGTCCCAGTCGTGACAGCTCCCACAGCATTGTGCGAGGAGTCCAGATTGGTTGTGTACTACGTAGCGCGGAGTTTCTAGATGCTCCGCCATACATCAAACTGCCTTTGTGACACACACACTCACACACACACACACATACATGGACACCGAGGGCGTAAACACCCCGGTGCAGTGCCAGCCGAACAATGGGCTCCTCGCTATTAACGCTTCGTAGTGCAGCGCTGTGTGTGTGTGTGTGTGTGTGTGTGTGTGTGTCCCTTTTGCCACCTCGCTGCCATGCTGCAACTGCCTCCGCTCGTTGCGGCTTTGTCCTTTGTGCGCCGCGCGCTCCATTTTCCGAATTTCTCATCCCGGGTCGTCCCGGCCCCTCGCGGCCTCTCGCGCGGCTGCAGGCTGATTCCGAAGAGTCATCTCTCCGTCTCTGTCGCGCTCGTGGGGCGTCCCGTAAGGGTGCGAGAGAGACAGAGCGACGAAAAGGCGATTCTTCGGGATCGCTCGACGGCCGGGGGGTCGTCGGCGGCCGCGAAGCGTCCGCGTGCGCCGCGGTGCAGTCCAGGCCGTTGCTCCGGTGTCGGATGGGTTGCCTACCGCCAGGCGGTGGCGGGGGCACTGCCAGGCTACCTGCCGACACATTGCCTCCCCGGCCGTGCCGGGCCTAGCCGTGCCGGGCCGCCGCCCCGTGACGTGGGGGTGCTATTTGTGGCGCGGAGTGTGTAGTGGGCTGCGTGCGAGGAGAGAGGCCGCCGTCGCCAGGACCGGCCGCGCAGCCACACTGCAGGGGCTCACGGACGCGGACTCACGGCCGTCGGCGTCCGGACGCCACCCTGCCGGCGTACCCTCCGAAAAACGGTGTCGCCGCGTGCGCGTGACGAGTGGGTGCGTGAGCCTTGAACTTTGCACGCGGAACGAACTCGGCCCGAGGAAACTGCAGGCCAGGCACGACCCGCGGGTGCGTGAACTTGAGCGCGGGTGTGTGAGTGTGCAGTGTGTGTGTCGGGGGTTGTTGGCAGCTGTGTGGCGAACTGGCCACGTTACAGCCAATTTGACGCAACGCCGAGATGCGTTTCAGCTTCTGGGTTGGTAGACGTTCAAGTGTCTTTGCGTCATCCGGATTTTTTGGCATGGAATGCGTGTGCTATATTAGCGGGAGAGTTGAAAAACGTTTTTGTTGGTCTGGTTGTTCAGCGTAAACCTTGAGTCCGTCCGTTTTGTTATTTCTAATGGGGGGTTTGGTATCCCCAATGGTTGCCAATGATGAAAGCCGTGCACGTCTCCGACTGCAGCTCTTTCCCAAAAGAATGCAATTCGCTGTCCGATCTTGGCGAGCGGTCATTTCCGGCTTGTAGTTACGCGGCCAACCTTCTTCTTGGTACTTCACGAAAATAACCCCGGTATTTATGAGGTTCCGTGTCAAGGGTGTCCCTGCCGTCGCTGCCGGTGCAAGATACCGCCAGGACACCGCCGCGCGAACCTCCAATTCAGACATTCAGCCGTCCACCGAAGCCAACCTAACCTAAATCGAGCCCGTCATTATGACGTCACCGTCACGCCCTCGACGGAAGGTCTCGCGTCTCTTTGGCTCAAAGTCACTCACGGCCTAGACTTGGGCGCCATCGTTGTTAAGCCTTATGATAAATCCGTGAAATTCCTCTAGGATTAACGTGGCACAGTGGTTTTTAAATTCTTCCGATGCTAAAAAATTGAAATTATTCCCGCAGCCCGCTGAGAGGCAGCCACCTCGACGCTCGACGGCTAGCCAGCCGCTCGACGCTTTTGACGACATAGCCGTTCCGTTCCGACTCCCCAGCAGTAAGATAAAGACGCCGCCCCGCCGCCGAGTCCAAGTCTTGGACAGAAATAGTCTGCGCTTCCTGAGCCCGATCGCCCGATCTCCGAGCACTCTTCAAATTATGCCATTTCTTACCTTTTGCCCTCTCCGCGTCCGCAGGTGAGCCCATGCCCGGCGGCCTAGGCGACACACTAGAGGACCATGGGCGCGGCACAGAGCGTCAGCTCCACCGACCACCGGGACCCGGAGGACGCCGTCGACCCCTGGTGGGGCAGCAGCGATGCACGCGTGAGTACATGCGCGTCTCGGCGCCGAATTTCACCATTGTCAGCTGGAGGCGTCCCGGGAGGGGGGCTAAGTGGGATATTGGCCGGCAGAGTCGTCGTTCCCGACGCATATGGCCTGGTTAAGGCCATCACTGCGGGCGTGGCTCGGCGGCTCGGCGGCTCGGCGACGTACCGCGGAAGCCAGCAGGCTGATTCCGCGCAGTGTTTCGTCGTTTCGTCGCTCTGTCTCTCTCGCACCTCTACGGAACGGCCCACGAGTGCGAGAGAGACAGAGCGGCTAGCCCGCGGCACGTGGCTGCAAGTGACCGCAGCCCCATTTCAGGATCACAAAGTCAATAAGACGTTGGCAGCGCGGCATCTTTGATTTAAAAATAGAAATAGCCTCCAGGAAGAGCGCGCGTGCCAAGTCGGGACGATGGAAAAATAAATCCCTCGTTATTCGTCTTGCAGAGCGCGACACCGCCGAGGGCTGACCCGGAGCCGGTGCCCGAGACCTTGTCCACGACGCCGTCCTCGACGCTGTCCTCGCAGGACGACATGCTGGGGCTGATGGTGCGGCGCGTCGAGGAGCTGACGGCCGAGCTGGCCCACGAGCGCCAGGAGCGGCACCGCGCCTGGAGAGAGGTGGTGGGGGAGGTGCTGGCCCGTCTCGGCCACGTCCACGGGGCACTCCAGGGGGACCAGGGGGACCAGGGGGGAGCGGCCGGTGAGGGCGACGACGCCGCGACGCACGCCGCGCCGCAGTTGTCGGAGTCGCGGCGTCGCGAGCTGGACATGCTGCGGACGCAGCTGGGCGCGCAGCGCGAGGCGCGGCGCCGCAAGCTGGACGAGGTGTCCGCCGAGATGGACCGCCTGCGCGCCGAGCTGGCCGCCGAGCGCGCGATGCGCGAGCAGCTGGAGCGGCGTCTGCACGACGACGACGAGGACCAGATGCTGCGGGACGCCATGCTCGTCGAGTCGGACCAGCTCCGCGACGACCTGGAACGCGAGCGTGAGGCGCGCCAGCAGGTCCAGCTGCAGGTGCTGCAGCTGCAGCTGCGCTGCGACGAGCTGCAGGCCGCGCTGGACGCCGCGGACGGCGACGCGCGACGGGAGCGCGACGCGGCGGGGGCGGCGCGCCTCGAGTCCGGCCGGCTGCAGGGCGAGCTGCACGAGGCCGCCGCCGAGCTGGCCACCAGCAGGGAGGAGGGCGAGCGCGCCACCGTCCAGCTCGACGAGGTGCAGCGCCAGGCCACCGCGCTCAAGGAGGTGGCCGCCCTCAGCAAGCGCATGCTCGCCATCCGCGAGGCGCAGGTGCACGACATGCGGCAGCAGCTCACGGCCATCGAGGAGAAGGTGGGCAGTCCCGAGCACACGGCCACCACACTCACCCACCTGCGCTCCGAGTACGAGAAGCAGATCACCAACATCCGCGGCCTCAAGCAGCTCTACGAAGAGCGCGCGCGCGTGCTGCAGCAGGAGAAGGACAAGCAGGCCGGCGAGCTGGAGCAGCGCACACAGGAGGTGGGTGACAACGGCTATTTGGTTGGTTGTTTAGTTTACCAGATTTGTTAACTCGGGGTGCTCTCTGCCACCAGGTGGGCGAGCTCCAGGACGCCGTCAAGGAACTGGAGGAAAAGGCCAGCCAATTGGAAGCGACGCTGTCGGAGCGCAGCGACGCCCTGGAGGAGCTGGAGTTCCAGCTGGGCGACTCGGTGGCCGAGTGCCAGAGCCTGACGGCGCAGATGGCCAGGATCAACGGACTCTTCACGCAGATGCTGCTGGGCTGCAGCCACCCCGACATCGACCTGGACCGCCTCGGGCACCTGCTGCACGAGAACCACGACCTGATCGCCGACATCACCGACAAGGACGGCGGCACGGACATCGCGCCCGTGTTGCCCAAGCTCATCCTGGACCTCATCACGCAGGTGGAGGAAGAGGCCAGGCTGAAGCAGGAGGCCGAGGAGGGGGAGGAGGAGGAGGTCTGCGAGGACGCGGACGTCAAGGAAGGCGAGGAGGCCGTCAAGCAGGAGGACCAGCAGTCCGCGGAGGGCCAGGTTCAGGCAGACGACAAGCCGGCCGACGAGAAGCCGGCTGACGACAAGCAGGTCGGCGACAAGACAACCGAAGACCAGCAGCCCGAGGGTGCACAGCAGAACCCCCAGGACGCGGAGAAGGCGGTCATCGCGGCCGCGCCCGGCAGGGAGGAGCTCGTCAACGAGATTGCGTCCAACCTGCCCAAGGCGAGTACCTCGCCACGCGGCGTGTTGTCGCCTCACTCCGGCGCCCGTCCAACAACACTCTCTGCTTGCAGGTGTGGGCGGTGCTGCGGGAGCTGGTGTCTCAGCAGGCGGGCCGCGGCGTGCGGCGCGGCTCGGTGGGCGACTCGGAGAAGGGCAAGGCGTCGTGCTACACCAGCGTCAACACGCCGGGCGGCCCGCGCAAAGTCATCTCCGTGTCCAAGACGTACATCCGCCTCAAGGACCTGATCGTCGAGAAGCGCTCCCTGCAGAAGGAGCTGTGCAGCCTCAAGCAGCTCAACGGGCACCTGGAGACCCGCCTGGACGAGCAGGAAAACAGGTGAGGGAGGACGCCAGCTGCACGGAGTGATTCCGAACAGCGCTTCGTCGCCATCCTCCTCTCACCCGCACGTGGAGCGTGAGTGCGAGAGAGATGGAGCGACGAACGCGCCGTTCGGAATCTGCCTGCAGACAAAGGTGGTCCGCGTAAGGCGCGCAAAGAGCAATCGCGACGCAGCGCGAGGCGGCCGGCCAAGACATGCAGGCCGGCCGGGCCGGTCGGGCAGCGCGACGCGTGCGCCGTCGCCTCGGCCGTCGCCGTGTCGCAACAACAAGTACAGTGCAGCGTATACTAATGCGCTCGGATTGCCCTGTTTCTGTTGCGCCTCGGATATTATTGGACGTGCTTCATCTCTGGCAGCGCGACGCGGCGGACGCCGTTTGAGCGCGATCGGGCTGCTCTTGTTGTCGCTCGCGACTCGCGGTGTGGCGGCTGGCAGCGACCTTGCAGCGCGCCGCCACGCCGCCGTGTTGTGACGCGGGCTAACGCGGGCCGGGCCGCGCGGTGCAGTGCGTCACCGCGGAAGCGGCGCGCGGAAGGCAGCACCGCCAAGCCCAAGTATGGGCCGCCGGCCATACCCCGCGCGCGGAGCCGGAGCCCCGGCCGCGGAGTATTGCCGAGTCGCACGCGTTCTGACGACTGTTGCGTTGCTTGCAGGCTCGGCAAGGTGTCGTCCGAGCTGCACAAGACGTGGGGGCTGGTGGGCCGCCTGCAGGCGCAGCACCAGCAGCTGCACACGCACGAGAAGATCCTGCGCTACGAGCTGCACCAGAAGCGCGAGCTGCTGTCGGAGCTGAAGCAGGAGCTGGAGTACTGCCGCGAGAAGTGGGAGAGCGCGCGCGAGAAGAACTCGCAGACGGACCGCGAGTGGCGGGTGCTGCGGCGCGAGTTCGCGGCCCGCAAGACGAGGGACGCCACCCGCCTGGACGACCTCAACAACTCCACCTCCGGCGAGAGCGGCCTCGGCGAGGACAGCGGCGAGGACGACGCGGACGTGTCCTCTGGCCGGTCCGAGACGCCCTCCGTCGCCGAGGACGCCGTCGTCACCTCGTCGCTGGCAGAAGAGGACCTCGTCGTCGCGGCGCCAGACCTGCCTGTCGACCCGGAGAACGCCGTGGTCGAGGAGGCGGCCGCGCCCGCCGAAGCGTCGGCCGTGCCGATTCAGGTGAGTAGCTCCGGGCGCCTGCGAACTCGAGGGCGGGCCGCTCCGTTACGCGCGGGCGTTCGGCGGCACAGCATAACCTCCAGGCGCTCCAGCGTGGCCGCCGAGGCCCGCCGGGCTGCCCTGCGCCTTGACTCCAGCGCGCTGACTGAGGCCGCGTATCTTTATGTGCTGCTGCAGGTGTCGATGGCGCCGCAGCTCGAGGCGACTGAGGACGTGGAGATGCTCCCCCTGGAGCTGGCCCCGGTGCGCGCGGTCACGTCGAGTGCGTGCCGCGTGGTGACGACGGAGCCGCTGACGGCCACGGTGGTGCGCTCCGCCGCCGTGGTGCTGCAGACGGAGGTGGTGCCCGCCCAGCGCGCCACGACCACTCCACTGCCAGCGGCGCGTCGCCTCGGGGACGACGCCTCTGACGCCTCGGACAGCGACGCGTCGGGGCCGCGAGGAGCAGTGCGCGACCTCACGGACCTGAAGGCGCGGGCCCTCGTCACCTACGCCCAGCGCGTCGCCAGCATGCGGCAGCAGGACACCCTGCAGGACACCCTGCAGGACACCCGACAGGATGCCCAGCAGGACAGCCAGCAGGACAGCTCGCGGGACACGGAGGAGGAACCCGACCAGCCGAAGCCGAAGTGCAGGCCTCTGGCGGCGCGGCTGGACGTATCCCCGGCACCACTGGGAACCGACAGTCGAACGGACAGCCGAACGGACAGCCCCCCGGACACGCCGCAGGACACGGCGCTGCGGCCCCCGCCCACCAGGGTGGTGCCCGTGTTCGACCCGCTGGCCGCGGTGCGGCCGCCACAAGCCGCCCCGCAGTCCGACACCGCCACGCCCATGCTGTTCGGCTCGTTCGACGTGGCCTCGCTGGACTTCTCCGCGCTGGACGTCACCAAGTCCCTGGCGCCGGCCGCCGTCCACGAGGAGCAGCGTACCGCCCCCGTGGCGGAGTCGCCCTCAAGGGAAGGGTTATCCGCGTCCAGCCAGCGTGAGTACAGGGAATGTCAAACCGCTAATTGAAACCTCTCTCACGCAGTTTTTAAAATCTTTCTTTTCGTTTGCTTAGTGACCAGCAAGTTGACGGAGACGGCCTCGGCGGCCAGCAGCGCGAGGTCGCAGCGCACCCCGGAGGAGATCCTGGCGGACCGGTCGGCTCGGCTGCAGCGGCTGGAGCAGCAGGCTGACTGGCTAAAGCGGAAGGTGGCCAGCAACAACCAGCGGGGCACCGCCCTGTGCACCAAGCTGGAGGAGCTGCACGAGCAGTACGGGTCTGCCTCGGCCACCACCACAGCCGCGGAGCCCTCAGCGACGGCCGGCGTGGCGTCGGCAGTGACGCCTTCGGCCTCTCTGGACGCGGCCACCACGGCCTCGACCGTCGCGGCTTCGGTATCCACGGCCTCAACCACCACTGCCTCGGCCACCACGTCCTCGGACGTCGCGGTCCCGCCGACCACGGTCTCGGCCTCCACCAGGACCCCGGAGGAAATCCTGGCGGCGCGCGCGGAGCGACTGAGCCGCCTGGAGGAGCAGTGCAGCTCGCTGTTCAGCCAAATGAACCGCACCTCCAGGTTCAGCAGTGTGCTGTCCAACCGCCTCGAAGAGCTCCACGAACACTACGGCCAGGACGCCGCCAACACCGCGCCGGTCCCGCCGGTCCCGCCACCCATGCCCGGCGTGCTGCCCGCCGCCCGCCTCCCCGTCAGCGAGCCGCCCCCAGGCGCCGCCCCCGAGGAGCAGCGCGAAGAGGGAGGACCGCGGTAGAGCGTCGGGGGAGGGAGGGGCGTCGTGTGGGTGCACAGGGGTTGCTGAAAACGACTTATTTTAATGAAAAGATAATGTTTAGTATTGATAATTCTGTCTTGAGAAGAAGACTGATGGCGTTGCCGTGCTGTGAATTTTCAAAGACGGAAGACGAAGAGTCGAACGTGATGTTTCAGACGATAGATGAAGGCGGGTGGAAACTTCCGTAGAAAAAGAACATGTGGAAATGCCAGGTTCGTGCCACATTGATACAGAATTAGTGTTTAGTAGCGTTAAAATACCACAGTTTTAAAAATTACTTAAGTATTTGTGCCAACATTACCCTACGAACCTGCTCCACTTTTACAAAGGACAGGACCACGCGCTTCTTATGTGAAGTTGCAGACATCACAGTCACAGTTTAAGTTTCTATACAGTCTGATACCATATATTCTGTATATTTTCGTACCTGCTGCTTTGTTTTGTATTCGGCAATGCGAGAAGCATTGCTCCCAATAATTGTGTACAAATATATATTGTTTTAGACGATTGCATTTTGTCGTAATTTTACCCATCTAATCCCATTCGTACTAGGTATTTCTTTTCAATTCCCACTTGGTGCTCTACCGGTGCATTCAGGTCTCTCCGGCTTTAGAAGTTTTTCCTGAACGTAGAGGTACAGGAGGCAGTCACCGGGGTCGAACGCGACCTGCCCTAATTCGCCGTCACTACACCGGAAGTCCGGCCGGGCGTAATGCGGACGCGTGGGTCGGCGCGTTGCGCGTTCGGGCAGGACAGGGTGCTGGAAGTGCCAATCGATGTGCTTCTGTGTTTTGTGTACGTCTGAACCCGTCGCGGGGCACGGCGGGCACGGGGCGCGCTTCGGTGCGTGGCGGCAGTAGCGGGCCTCCGGTTGCACCTCGCCGACACGGCGCCGACTGTACCCTCTCGGCCCCCGCCTCCCCTCAGCCCTCGCCCGCCCTCGCCCGGCCGCCACCGGGGGCGCCGGCACTGTCACCGCGCCCAGACAGTCAGTCAATCCGGTCAGTCCAGCGTGGTGAGGGGAAGCAACCGGAGCAGCGTTCTCGGCGTTACCGTCGTCGTCCTGGTGAATCGGCCCTCGTATCTGCTATGATGAAATCGGTAAGTGTGTTTCGCTCGGTGGCGCCATCCGTCACAGCGTACTTAATGCGGGGCCGCCCCATTCCGAGGGGTCTCTCTCGCACTTATGGGGCGTTCCGAAGGGGTGCGAGATAGACAGAGCGACGCAACGATTCCACGGAATCAGGCTGCCGCCAGGGGGCCAGGGGGCATCAGAGGCTCTCCAGGCGTCTCCAGGCATCACCGCGACGTCCTGCGCGGGGGCCGCGGCCATGCCCCGGGGTGGGGCTCGGGGGCCTCGGATCCATCACGCCGCACACATAAAGGGTTGGCGTGGGGCGGCAAACGCGGCAGGTAGTGGTGCGTCTCAAAGGGTGGCGGGGCGCTATGTATCGGGGTGGCCAAGGCCGCCAGGGCCCGCGGGCCGAGGGGGCCTGCACCGAGGCAAGTCAAGGCACTCGAGGGCGGAGCGGGCTGCAGCGAGCACGGCGCCATGAAGCAGCAGGGCCAGCAGCAGCAGGGCTCGGCGTCGGCGGGGGTGAGTCCGGCCGTCGTGAGGGTCTCGGCTTCGAATACCGACGGCGGCGGGCTGTTTTCGACCTTTTCGTGTGTGTTTGTGTGTGTGTGCGCGCGCGCAAAAGAGAGATAGAGAGAGCCCCTTCTGCCCGTCTCTGTGCGTGAGCGTGGCCGCAGGACCAGGTGAGGCGGCCAAGGAGGGCTCGGGGGCAAGTTGAGTCGAGGGCCGCACGGACTCCCCGGACTAGGCCAAGGCTCGCCAAGGCTTGAGGAGCCTCGCGACAAGCACGACAAGCCTGTCCACACCAAGGGCGCTTGATGCCTGATCGATACGAGACGGGCCACTCTGCGGCCGACCGGCGCTTCTGTAATGGTTTCGCTGGAAAACGCAGCCGTTAATATTTGACGACCGCGCGGCATGACTCGGCTCGGCAGGTGGTCGCGAAAGCGGGGTGCGTCGTAGCTGCTCTTGGGAACGCGAGCAGACGCCGCCAAGGCCGAGGCGCGGCGGGGCGTCGCGGTGGCGCATCGCGGTGCGGCCCAGGGGCTCAACAGGAAGTGCCACGCAACGACAGAGAGACGGGCAGCGGGCACCGGGGGTACTTGGTGTGTCCCAGCGAAACACGGCGCCACTCGTGCGGATAAGGCTTGGGGGGAAGCGTTTCCTTGCTGGAATAACTGATTGGGGGCGCGAGGCGTTGCGATGCGCGCGGCCCTCCCCGCCCTGCCGTATCTCGCGTCATCGTCCGGGCAGTGGGTCGCGCCGAGGGGGTGGGGGAGGTCACTGTCCACGGTATCGACAGGTCGCTCCTCCGTGCGACATGCCAAGAGAGGGAAGCCCCGGTTACCCACTTCCCATGCGCCTATGGCGCGCTATGGCGGCGGCGCCCGTTGTGTCCACCTGGCCCATCCCCTAACAACGCGCGCCGAAGGAGGTCATCGTGTAGATGGTCTAGATGGCCGGCCTGCTCACGCGAGACGCGCTTGGCGGCGTGGCGTGCCCCGCGCCGAGTTTGACCCCGTTGCCAAGACCGCCACCGTCGGCGACGTTCGATGCGTCGTCCTGCCGGCCACTAATTGACCATGCCGAGGCCGGGTTAGCCCAACGAGTGCACGTCGCTGCCCCTTGCTGCAGCGGGAGTGCCTGTCCATCCACATCGGCCAGGCGGGGGTGCAGATGGGGTCGGCGTGCTGGGAGCTGTACTGCCTGGAGCACGGCATCCAGCCCGACGGCCAGATGCCGGCCGACACCACCCTGGGCTCCGAGGCCGACTCGTTCAACACCTTCTACTCGGAGACCTCGAACGGCAAGCACGTGCCTCGCGCCATCTTCGTGGACCTGGAGCCCACCGTCGTCGGTAAGCACCGTGGCCTCGATCGTGGCGACCACGCATCAGTGGCTGTGTGTTTTCAGTGTAAGTATATGTTCTCTTCCGACTCGCAGACGAGATCCGCTCCGGCGCCTACCGGCAGCTGTTCCACCCGGAGCACCTCATCACCGGCAAGGAGGACGCCGCCAACAACTACGCCCGCGGCCACTACACCATCGGCAAGGAGATCATCGACGTGACCCTGGACCGGATCCGCAAGATGGCGGACCACTGCCACGGCCTGCAGGGCTTCCTCATCTTCCACTCGTTCGGCGGCGGCACGGGCTCGGGCTTTGCGTCGCTCCTGCTCGAGCGGCTGTCCGTCGACTTCCCCAAGAAGAGCAAGCTCACCTTCTCCATCTACCCCGCGCCACAGGTGAGGTGACGCGTGTGGCCGCTAGTCGCGGTGGTTTCAGCTTGCAGTAATTTTCCCCTCGTCTTTCCCCTCGGTAGGTGTCGACGGCGATGGTGGAGCCCTACAACGCGATCCTGTACACGCACCCGACGCTGGAGCACTGCGAGGTGGCCTTCCTCGTGGACAACCAGGCCATCTACCAGATCTGCAAGGAGAAGCTGGGCATCGAGCGGCCGCGCTACACGAACCTGAACCGACTCATCGGCCAGATCGTGTCCTCCATCACGGCCTCGCTGCGCTTCGACGGCGCGCTCAACGTCGACCTCAACGAGTTCCAGACCAACCTCGTGCCCTACCCGCGCATCCATTTCCCCTTGGTACAGCGCCATACAGGACTGTGGCCTTTTTTCATTGTTTAAATTGCTCAACTGTTGTCATTTTACTTATTTTTAGGCAACGTACGCACCCGTCATTTCGGCCGACAAAGTAGGCCACGAAAAAATGACGGTGACGGACATAACGAAATCGTGTTTCGAGCCCAACAACCAGATGGTGAGTGCTGCTGCGTGTTTCGGATGCGGCTGCAATGCAACCATCTGCAACGCACCCCGTGTCGTCAGGTCAACTGCAACCCCCGCAACGGCAAGTACATGGCGGTGTGCCTGCTGTACCGCGGCGACGTGGTTCCGAAGGACGTGAACGCCGCCATCGCCCTCATGAAGAAGGAACGCACCGTGCAGTTCGTCGAGTGGTGCCCCACGGGCTTCAAGGTGGGCATCAACTACCAGCCACCCACCGTGGTGCCCGGCGGCGACCTGGCCCGCGTGTCCAGGGCCGTGTGCTCGCTCTGCAACACGAGCGCCATCGTGGACGCCTGGGCCGCCCTCGACAACAAGTTCGACCTCATGTACGCAAAGCGCGCTTTCGTGCACTGGTACGTCGGCGAGGGCATGGAGGAAGGTAAGTCGTCCTCGTCGTGGGACCCGTCCGACTGGCTAGTTGTTGCCTCCACTATTCGTAAGCGTCAACCTTGTTTCTCTTGCTTTGCGCTCAGGTGAATTCTCAGAGGCGAGGGAAGACCTGGCCGCGCTGGAGATGGACTACAGAGAGGTGCAAGAGGACTCTGTGCCAGACGACCAGGACGACTACTGAAGCCTCCAGAGTTCATTTGGGTCCAGCACTGTCTCAAAGGCAGGCTTAACAAATTATTTCCTCCACAACAAAGCTTTGTCATAGGATGGTTCAAGGTTCAAGAATGGAAACACAACTTTTATGTACACTTTATTGAAAATGTATGGGTACCTTGTAATCTCTTTTACAAAAGTACTATAATAGTTCATCAGACAATCTCAAGAATTTATAATAAAAGTAAATTGAAAACTTTAAGGTAGTTTCATCTAAGTAACTTCTAAATTGTTGGTTAAATTATTGGTCCTTTCCTTCAGGTGTTGATTGGAGTTGATCAACTCTCTGCTTGAGTTGTTGAACCAAGGTGTTTTGGTGCGACTGGAGACCCTGTGCTACACTCTGAGCACCGCTCAGAAGAGTTTGAACAATACTTGCTCTAGCTGTGTCGATATCCGGGATAGAAGCCAAAGATTGTAACTGGGTAAAACTAAGGATTCTTCCATCAACAACAGCACCTACAACATAAAAACAATAGAACACTTTTCGGTAAAGACATTAATGATATTAAAATCATTGTCTGGAGATTTTAATCACATAACTTACACAGTAGATGGTAGTGGGGTAGTTTTTGATTGATAGAAACAAGAGAAGAAATATTTGCTTCAGGTGAAAACACCATAAAATTAACAGCATCAAAGAGCGGTAGCAGGTTTCGGAACTCAGTATCACCAATGGCTTCCTTTACTATGTGTTTATTTCGGACAACTATTTTCATATTGGCTTTAAAGAAGAGTATCTTGGCCTGTAAAAGAACATTTAAAATGGAACAAATGTAAACGTACAAAAATTCCATGATCTTGGTTGATCACATCTCGGATACAAACATACCTGATGCATTTCATGAAAATCATAGTTACACCGAGTAAAAATAGCGGAGAGTGCAGATGTCTTAAACATGTCACGAAGTTCAGAGGCATAGATCTTGTCAAGTGCATCAAGCTGCAAAAAAGTCAGAAAAATAAAAATTTTGCAACCCACTTAAAATTTATCTTCCGACATCATGAATGACAACTTACGTCAACTGGGGGCATGATCTGAACAGGTTTCAAACACTTATCAATGGGAGGACGGGTGTCCTCCTCATAAATCGGTTTAGTAACTGCCAATAATTTGGATTTGAGAAAATGTGGATGTTTGGGTCGTTGAATATTTGGACGGTTTCTTGAAAATCGAACCTGTTGGTATACCAGAGGGAAAACTCGAAGAAAACCTGAAAAACAAATTTGGCTTAACCTCCAGAACTTGAGTAAAACACATTACATTAGACAGGAACGAGGATCCGCTAAGCTTGACAGACAGTCTCTCTCACTGTCGTTTCCCAAACCTTTATTAGTGCAGGTTGCCATGGCTCTTCTAAGATCAATTACAGGAAAAAATGAATATAAACCACTATCTAAATTAGTTGAAGCATGCCAGCAGACTCTTTCTGCTTCTGCTAGAACACCTGCTGTATACCAACCTGACGGTGCAAAAACAAATCAACAGGATGCATGAAAATCGTTTCAGCTAAGTTAAAATGTTATTTTACGTAATCTAAGAAATTTCAATCATCACTATTTGAAATTTAAAAAACAAAGCTTCCATATCTATGACCTTTTTTCGAAAAAAATTGTGCGCTTCAGTTTTTACTTTTGACATGTTGTTGTTTGTTTGTAGTTGTTTTTCTTGTTGCATATGCCGCTTCGTTCTTTGTACGAAGCGGAACTGTTTGAAAGAGCAAGTTTCTCTTCGTGTTTGCGCTCTCATTCGCAACTGTTTTGACTTGAGAAAAGATAAAAAGACTCGCCATTCAAGATGAATCCTATGACGTTAGTATATCGGGTTTTACTCCCGCCATCGTGTGTAGGTTATGTTTATGTATGTACATTTCTAATACATTTCCCTTTTTACAGAAATATGAAAAATGTGAAAAAGCTCTCGGAGCAAGAGCTTAATTTTGGCATGAAAACATCATGGCATGACCAATACAAACACAGTGCTTGGATTTTTGTTGGAGGTCTACCTTTTGATCTGACTGAGGGAGACATCATCTGTGTTTTTTCGCAGTAAGTTTGCTGAAATTGTATGGGCTAAAAGTGCTACAATAACTCTTATCTAATTCTGTTTTCTTTTCACCCTCAGATATGGTGAGGTGGTGAATATTAATTTGGTACGGGACAAAGGAACAGGCAAGTCTCGTGGTTTCTGTTTCATCTGTTACGAAGATCAAAGAAGCACCAATCTAGCAGTTGATAATTTCAATGGCATTAAGGTATGACGACCGTTCTTTTTCTCAGATACACTGTGTTCTTTAATTGGTGTGATAAATACATTTCTTTTTCATCCAGCTTCTGAACCGAACTATCAGAGTTGACCACTGTGAAGGCTACAAAGCACCAAAGGATGACAAAATGGATGAGGAATCTCGTTCACTCCATGCAGAAGGATGTGCACCTGGTTCCAAATATGGTGATTTGCCAAAATTACCAAGCTCCTCAAACTCAAATGGAGGCCTAGATAAAGGTTTTAATCTACCACCAATGGAGAGTTTGCTCAAATTAAAAACTGGTAGGGTAGTTTTTGTCAGTTCATTTCCTCGACTTTATCTGTTGTGTTTGTTTAAGTTAGTTTTCTACTATGACTTCGCATTTATTTTTTTTCAGAAAAAGAAGACTCTCCAAAAAAGCATAAGGACAAATCAGAGAAAAAAGAGAAAAATGCTAAGAAAACGAAAGATAAGATAAAAAAGTTATTCAGGAAGAAAAAGAAAGAGGAAAGTTCGTCAAGTAGCAGTTCTTCAGAGAGTAGTTCTGAGTCAGATGAAGAAACATCCAGGAAGAAGAGGACAAAGAAGGAAAAATCAAAGCGGAGGAAAAATGAGTCATCATCTAGTGGTGAAGAAAGTAACTCAAACATTAGTAAAAGGAAATTGAAAAAGAAGCAAAGGAAGGAATCATCATCTGATAGTGACAGTGATACTGATGAAAAGCCTCAGGAAAAGAAAAGGGGGAAGCTCAAAAAGAAATCTGATAAGATTAAATCATCAGAGAGTGAAGATGAAGAAGTCAAAAGAACAGAGCACTCCCATAAATTTCATAAAAGTAGTAAAGATGAAGGTATTAATAAGTATGACCGAGATTCCAGTAAATATAGGCATGAGCCATCAGATAGGTCCACTGATAAGGATAGAAAATTTTCTGGTGAAAATAACAGAGAGAACCTGAGGCGATATGGCGACGAAAGTAAAAGCAGGGATGATGGACGACATGACAGAGAAAGAAGAGATGACAGAGACCGGAAAGACGATAGAAATCGGAAACCAGACCAAGACAGATGGGATGATAGGGGCAGAAGAGATGACAGGAGTAGAAGAGATGATAGGGACAGAAAGTATTCAGGTGAGAAAAGCCAAGAAGACAGTAGAAGACAGTACGAAAGAAAGGAAAGAGATAGAAGGTAAGGTGTGCCCAATGAAATAGCCGCATTACTTTTGGTAGGTTTGTAAATGTATTGCCAAGTTTCAATCAGAAATAACTGAAATATTCAAAGTTTTATAATCTTATCATGTCTTGTTCTTTTATGAAAAGGGGATGGGGAGTAATAAAACAAATTGATTATCAATTTATGAAATTGTATTTATCACATTGGTATATAAATCAACATTAAATTCAACAGGCCACTTTATACATGTTTTTGCAATGCCTTGAGTAAACATAGACCATGTTGCAATGCAGAACATCACATCATTAACTTGTCACAGAAAGAAACATGTCACAGGCCTGTAGCACAGGCAGTAACATGGGATACATAATTGTACAGCTTTCCAACATACAGAAATTACACATATAAAGTAGAAGATAACAATAATCTATCTCTGGGTTCAGTCATTAAAAAGTTCTTTTTAAACAAAATATACATAAAAAGTGAATATCATAATTCAGTGATACCAGAATTTCAATACTAGAGAGAAAGGAAAGAAGATAACACATTAAAAGATACTAGCATAGGCACTTGATTGAGCTGAGCTTGAGTGCAGGGACTGCAGCTTGAGCTAAAGGTATAAAAAAAATAGAGCACAGATTTTGTATAAAATCAAGTCTTGCCCCTGTTGAAAGTATACAGCAGCTGTTGGGAACCTATTTTGTTACAGTAGTTAAAAATGTCTTAGTCTCTAGAAGAATGCTTTAAGTTTCTGACTCAACAGGCAGGAAGTACTAGAATAAAGGATAAATTTGAGTTAAAATTTACTTACATACTAATAATAAAAATAGAAAGTAGTTATCAGGTTAGAAGGAAAGAAGAGCACCAACACCAAATGGTCAATCCACCACAATGAGTTTCCAACGAGTAATCAAAATGCTGTTTCATTCACAGACACACCAGCTGCAGCACTTTCACTCAAACATCTATCAATCTCACTCTGAACACACGTGTTATGGAATTCTGTTTCAGAGTCAGCAGAAAGCATGTTATGATTATTAAAATTAATTTGGTCTGCATTCAGGGCCTCCTCAAAGCTATTGGTAACTTTACTTTCGGGTTTAGCGTTAGGCATGCTCAAGGAGCCATTGTCATCATGGTCACCTTCTACTCCCGATGATTCATAATCCTCATCGACTGGTCCTTTGTCACTAAGATTAGATGCAGCCCCAGTAGAATTCAGTGACTTCTTATCTACTTCAGGTAGGTCACTGGCATCCAAGCACGATGGTTCATTGCCATTAAGACAATACAATAAAGAATCACTTAAGTTGTCATTACTTAGAACATATCTCACCTCACGTTCAGAGGAAGAATCAAAATCCCCAGTGTGACTAGAGAAGCTCAGATCCACTGGGCTTGCAGTAAGAACACTGCGGCTCAAGACTATTTCTCTGAACGTTCCGGTCAAAGCACTACCGTCACTACTGCAGCTGTAGTAATCTAAGGAACCATTTCCCCCACTACAAGTTGCACATTTCTCATCAGGGCAGCATTCACAGCCTTCAGTTCCACTCAACACATGTTTCTCAGTTGCCGCCATCTCACTTTTCTGGAGTGTAACATCTTTTGGCACCTCTTTGGCAAGCATTCGCTCAATAGGGATGTGGACAGTCAAGTCATCTTGGAAGTTGTCATCTACTTCCCGTTCGATAAAACTCTCCTCTTTCATCAAAAGTTTGCTGCTCAGAGATGCTCCTGCTTCGCTGAGTAATGTGGCTCGAGATGTAGCGTCGCGTCTCAGCTCTCCTGACCCGGAACGCCCCCACCCGCCTAAATGTGCCAACTGGGACAAGTTGGAGCTGGACAAGGCCACGACAGGTTTCCGACTGCGAGGTGTCATCATGTCCTCCTGCAAGCAAAGAAAGTCAATTGTCACAGAGTCATCCGCGAGTCTCTCATTCAGCCGGTTGTCTTGTTTCAAATTATCTAAGTAGCAGCGGTTTACTTCCACCCCTCATAGAAGCATATATTATGTAGGCAGTTCAGCGAAGTCCAAACCACATAGATTTTATTAAAAAATCACAAAGCCAAGCAACTAATAATTGCCTTGTAATAACAATTGCAGATAAGATCTCCTTAGTACAATATCACATCAAGCAAACAGCAGTTATGCAAAGAAATGGATGCTTGTGAAAAGGGGGGACCAAAGTGGCAGATAAAGTAAGAATGATGCTGCCCATACAGGACTGAAAAGTTGTTATAGTTTGTTAGCACTGTTAAGATGAAAATGTTCATAGAGCATGGAAGAATGGACTTATTAAAATATGATGCAAGTTACAGAGGAACAAACAAACTGGAAAAGGGTTGAAGGAATTTAGGAGGATGACATGCATATGCATAAGTAGAAGAGGCTTGGTTAAAAATGATAGTGATGGTGAACACATTCTTACCTGCATTGCCTTAGACATTTTCTGCGTAGATCGTGTTATGGGAGACATAGAGTTATTGCCAGTGGCATTGGAAGGTGTTAGTAGGCAGTTACCAAGAGGACTGTCATTTTGATGGCAAGCACGTGCATATGCAGGAGTGCTGGTCATCCAGGCCAACACATTGCGAGGAGTTAGTATGTTATGAGCGCTAGGAAGCCCAGCCGAAGAGAGATTGCCACAGGATGAAGCGGACACCACGGCAGATGCAGAGGCAGAGGCAGTACTCACAGGCCATGACTCATCTCTACAGGTACCTGGCGGATGTTTGACATCAGGACTGGTTGCCAGCCTTTCGCCAGATTGGGTAGAGGGAACTGAGGAGGGGAAACATGGTTCAATGCGCGGGGATTTAGTGGGGCCACCCTCCTTGGAATCAACATTTTTATCCCGATGACTGAGAGAGGAAGTGGTCCGTTTGAGCACATTGCGCAAGCGCTCATCACCTGCTGTATTAGAATCATTGCTAGATGTTGAGGAACTCTCCTCCCTGTCAGTGCCAATATTTTCAGAAGTAACTGATGCTGGAGTCCTTTTAGCATTGGCCGAAAGACGCATTCGGATTGATTTAGCCTCATCGACATCCATAACTAGTGATTTCTTGAGAGAGGGCATGACCGAGGGTGATGGGAGAATATTTTCTCCATCACTCTTCTGGAAAACATTCTTGACTTTAGTGACTGGTGAACTGTGTGGGCTCTGTAAAGTATATTTACATTAAGTATAGATGTGGAAGGTGAATTCAAAAGTAATACAATTTGAATATCACTTACATCAAATGGTTCTTTTGAGTAAAACTCATCACTCAGCTTCTTAGGTTCTTTAGATCCCTTATTAAATACATGAATATGTTTCTGTTAGAAAAAAATCATTAAAAAAAAGAGATTTGTCAGCTAAATCGATTTAAAGGTAAAAACACTATGCATGATGAATATTACTTACCTTTATGGAATCCCCAAGGGAACGACTTCGCTGCCTTGGTTTGGGACCAGCAGTGCGATTCCTTGCTCTGCCTGTCCTGTTAGACCCCATTATTAACTGAGGAGTACCTTGTCCATTCTCTTTATTAAATTGTTTTATCAGTTTCCTCTTCTTGGATGATTCAGGTAAGGATTGAATGTGAGCATAAAGCTGCGCAAGTGCTGCTTCTGTTGGATTAGCTGATGCACTTGCTTCAGCTGTCTTTTCCCGATCTACAAATGTAAAAACTGTCTTTGCAGCCATTCCATCACAGGTGCTCTCATTAAGCTGTGGAAAATCAATATGATTTAACAATAAAACTTTTAATAATATGAAATTCAGTACTAGACTATTTTACTTACATCTTTTTTTGGCAAAAGTGTTCTTTTATCCCGAGATGACCAATAAGCTCTGATATCTGTGGCCAATTGAGCTGGAATGTGGAAGAGCGTAGGGCCTTGTTTGATCATAAATGATACAACTTTTGACATTGTCTGGGAATTAGTATGCAGAGCTTCAGGACTTAACTAAAAAGACATAAAGAAATTTTTTTTAGCAATTACAAATAGTTTAAACAACCTTTCGATTTATCCAGTTAGAACACAGTACATACCTTTCTTGGACAAAGTAAATGAGGTGTAAATAGGGTGGCCAAGTTATCTGCAGACATTTTATTGACATGAGCATAGGTTGAAGTAAGATGCAATAAGCCAAACAAGTCTTTTAAAAGTTGCAAATTCTCCAAAGGCAGTAACAGAAGTATGAGTTGAATGGCTTTCAGAAGACGCTCTTCATCTACTGGTTCATTGTTTCCAGCACAAAGCTCTGCAATGTTTGAGGAATGATTTATCAAAAAGTAAACACACAAGGACAAGAAAAATTTTGAAATTGAAAAATCAAAATGAAAACCAACCAGCAATTTGGCAATGAGCAGGGTAGTAAGCTTCAGTTAATAATGGCTCTGGAAGCTGAGCTAAAAAGTTTTTGAGGACACTTGCACAGTCATGAACAGAAAATTGTCCCTCATCTAATTTTAATGGACACCCAGAAGTCAGTAGGACTTTTAATTCTTGCTGTCTTGTCATTTTCCCACTTCGGCGAAAAATACCTTCTTGAATGACATCTAAACAAAGAAAACAAAGGTAAGAATGAGTAAGGGACTAGAGAGGCTACAATAACCCAATCATTGAAAAAGAAACAAAAAAAACACTCACTCTGCTCGAGACTCAGCCATTGGATTAATTGATATACTTGGGAAATACCTTCCTGAGTCAGTGTAACTCCTTCAGTGACAGGACGATTAACAGGTTTAGATTTCTTAGCAAAGGGGGTAAAACTCCATTTCATGGGGCGGAATTTCCCAGATTTTTCAGAAACACCATCGCACCTACAATAAAGCATTAGTCAGTTGTAGGTAGAAGGAAGTATTGACCAACTCAATACAATGCTTGATAATAGTTTGAGTTTGATGACTTACTCGTCAGTATTCAGATCTAATACAAAGGATAAATGCATGCGAACAAGTGTAAGGAACTGCTCTGGATCATCACGCCGCAGTGTTTCTGCTAGCTCAGCATCCTCAGATTTCGGCCCAGACACCATTGTGCTGTCCTGGAGAGCAAGAAGAAAGTCAAATCCAGTCAAAGTGGTTTACCTTAAAAAAAGTTTCCATTTACATAAATTTGCAAAATAAAGGAAACCTCAAAGTTTGAAAGAAAAGGCAACCAAATTGATATTGAAGAAAATAGTGATAACTCATAATTCCAGCACAAAGACTGACAACAAGGAAGATCTAAACACTCACCTCAATAGACGTTCCTCGCAGCAAATGATTTTCCTATCGCGAAACATAAAAATCTAAAACTGGAACAGGTCACAAAGACAGTCGTTAACAACAAGCCGGTTAAACAGCCACACGCACAGGAAATGAGTACTAATATCGTTAACAAGTACCCGAAATAAAACTTCTTGACTGAAACATTGTTCTCACGCATGTGCAAATGTCCTGGAGTCAGATTGACTGCGCATAAATTCCCTAACCAAAGACAACGGATCTAAATTATCATTTCACATCTTCAACAACACAACAATTTCAAACATTTCAAACGCATGCTCCGCTCAATTTTGATTGGTCAACCATTTGTGCCTTCTCTAAAAACGCATAACTTTCTCGACAAAAGTAGTTCGTAGAAGGCTGTGAAATAGTGTTTTGTTCTGGTTCGATAGGTCGATGCGGACCGGCAACAAAATCGAACTCGAAGTTCGTTATTTTCGTTTGTGACAGCTTGTAGTCTAAGCGAAAATCTTTCATTAATCAGCTACTTGTCCATGTCTATGTCTTTGGACTGATTTGAGAGGCCCACTGTAAGAATGCTTTCATGTTTTATGTCGTCAATTTTCATCCTCTTGATGCTATCACTCATTTTGCATGTTTTGTTATACATAACCTCCCACCGTGGCATTTAGTCATGTCACAGTGTTGTCGTCTTACATATTTTTAGCGCTTTCTTGATTCGCAATTATGTTCTTGGTGGGTTTCGAGAGTGTGAGGAGCAATTCTGCACCTCTTTCTGGTCATGACGTGATGCATTTTTATTGAAATATCGAAAGCTCAGACGTATCTTCTCCGAGTTCACAATTGCTTTTCATAGACTTCATTGTGTCACCTATTTTGACTCTAATTAGCGTGCTAGAGCAATGGATTTGTCTCTCCGAACTAGCTTCTATGTTTCGGACGATACCTGCCCCTTGTTTTACATGATTCACGCATTAGAATATCTTTGGTTTGCGGCTGCAGTGTCCACCGGCCTACCGAACCGGCTCTCTAATACTAAATTGAGGTCAAGCACAGTTCAGCTTATTTGAGCTGCCCTGGAGCTGCCTGAATACTAGACCATAGGCGCTGGGGATTCGTCATGTTTTAAATGACATGATCGACGAGTGGAGAAGTAATATTGACAAGTTAATCTTTACAGAATTAGGGAAGCAGTCAGCTGCTAAGATAAGATAAGATAGGACTTCGGTTTAATCCAAGCTGTGTGAAAAATTCTTCTCTGAGCAGCTCACTATCAGTTTGGCTTGGGCCTTTGATGCATTCCTAAACAGACCAGTAATTTTTTGTGTGGTTCTTGAATTTCTTTGTCTCAGATAGATGTTTCAATAATTCAACTTTATTTTACAGAACCCATCCTGCCGAAAAATGGTGAATTTGAAGTCAACTTCCCATTTATTGGAGAAGTTGCGAGCTTTGATGAAGAATAATAAGTATGTTCAGGAGCCAATACATGCGTACATTATACCCTCAGAAGACCGTCATCAGGTAAAGTTATCCAATTACAATTTTATAAGATTGTAAACATCTACGTATTAATCTAACTCTTATAATCTTTTGTTGATTCTTAAATTTTTTTTAAACCATTTCAGAGTGAATATATAGCTGAATGTGATCGCCGACGAGCCTTCATTACTGGTTTCACAGGTTCCAGTGGAACAGCTGTTGTGACTGATAAGGATGCCTGCCTTTGGACTGATGGACGCTACTATCTTCAAGCGTCGCAAGAAATGGACAAGAACTGGACGTTAATGAAGCTTAGTATGTGATGCTCTTTCCATGCATGTGTTATCTGACTCAACTCCTAATTATGTGTTTGCTAAAATGTTCTTGTCCCGCCTCCTTGTTCCAGATGATCCTGGTACCCCTACTGAGAGTGTTTGGTTGAGCAAAGTGCTTCCCGTAGGCTCACGTGTTGGTGTTGACCCTCAGCTAATGTCTTACGACAGTTGGCACCCTATGCAAACTCAGCTTGAGGCATCAGGGATGTCATTAGTTCCTGTGCATGCAAACCTTATTGATGCCATATGGGAGGATAGACCAGCTCCACCATGCAATGTTATTCAGCCTCATCCTCTCAAGTACTCAGGTACAATTTCCCTCCTGTTTAAACCTTTTATTTGATTTATTTTTTCTTTTGTTTATTTTTTTAATTTTGTTAACCTTATTTTTTAACTACTTTTTTAGGCAAAACATGTAAAAGCAAGGTACAAGAAGTACGTTTAGACATGGTTGAGAAAGGTGCTTCTTTGCTGGTGGTTACAGCTCTGGATGAAATTGCTTGTTAGTTTCTTTTGTTATCTTACCTTGGTTAAATTATTTTTTACTGCATGTTATTTTTTTTCTTTGACATTACAAACTATTTTTTGACAGGGTTGCTCAATTTGAGAGGATCGGATATAAACTACAACCCAGTATTTTTCTCTTATGTAATTGTCTCTCCGACCGCTGTGCATTTCTTTGTTGAAGAATCAAAAGTAACTGGAGCTGTGCGTGACCATTTTCTCCAAGAGGACTTGGCTGTAACCTTCCATCCGTATGACAAAGTGTACTCGTTTCTCACTGAGCAGGTATGCAGTAGTGGTTAAAATTACTTTCTTATAGCTTGATTTTGTTTCTAACCAAGCTTTCTCCCCAGATACCCATCCAAGAGGGTAAAATATGGCTGTCTTACTTATCATCTTATGGATTAATAGCTGCTATCCCTGAGAGAAAGAGAGTCACTGACATTTCTCCAATTGCTGTTATGAAGGCTGTGAAAAACCCTACTGAAGTTGCTGGTATTACAGGCCTTCCTTCCTAAGAATTAAAATTTCTTCTTTTTTTCCCACTTTTGAGACATTTTTTTTTTTTTTAAATTTCAGGTTTAGTAAATTGCCATATTAGAGATGGCGCTGCTGTTTGCTGTTATCTTTCCTGGCTAGAAAAAGAAATTAAAGAAGGCAAGAGTGTAGTTACTGAGGTGTCTGGGGCTACTCAGCTAGAGGAGTTCAGGAAGTACGAATTTCACTTTTTTAATTGCTTGTCAAAAAAATGTAAAATAATAATAATTGTGTTGCAATTTTACTATTCCAGACAGATGGATGATTTTGTGGGACTAAGCTTCACGACAATTTCATCATCTGGTCCCAATGGAGCCATCATCCATTACACCCCTTCGATTGAAAATGATAGAGTTATTACTGCCAATGAGTTGTACTTGTGTGATTCTGGTGCTCAGTTCAGGTATTATTGTGATTTAAAATTGTCATTTGTACTCATCTGTGTCAAAAGTGTTTACCAATTTTGTTCTTTGGCAGAGATGGGACCACTGATATTACAAGAACTGTCCATTTTGGAACTCCTACAGAGTACGAAAAGGAGTGCTTCACAAGAGTGTTCAAAGGACAAGCAAGTTTAGCGAGTGCTGTCTTCCCTCAGAAGATTAAGGTGTGGTCTAGAGTCCATTCATTCTTATCTCAACAATCGTGCCTTAGTCAAAAGTGTAATATGAGTAATGTTTATTTTTAGGGCCACTACTTGGACACACTGGCAAGAAAGTTTTTGTGGGATGTTGGACTAGATTATCTGCATGGCACTGGCCATGGTATTGGTTCTTACCTCAATGTTCATGAAGGACCCATGGGAGTGTCATGGAGAGCTTATCCTGATGACCCAGGTCTTAGTGAAGGAATGTTCCTTTCTAATGGTATGTATTGAATTTCTGAAGAAGGATCTCAACACACAAGTTCCTACTAGTATCATTTCATGTCAAAGAAATTTCTCGCTTCTAGAACCTGGATACTATGAGGATGGGAAGTTTGGCATCCGCCTTGAAAATATTGAGCGTGTGGTACAAGCTGAGACTAAATACAATCTCCCTATTCGTAAATTTATTACTTTTGAAACTGTGACTATGGTGCCAATTCAAACTAAACTGTTAGTTCCTGAGCTTCTCACAGAAAAAGAGGTAGGCTGGATTCATTCAGTTTTCTTCTGCTTTCATTTTCCTTCCAACTACATTTACTTGAGAATAACTCTTTTTTTCTTCAGATTTCATACCTCAACAACTACCACATGAAAGTGCGAGAGTCAGTGGGGCCAATTCTCAAGAAAATGGGCCATGTGGAAGCATTGGAGTGGCTCTACCGGGAAACTGAGCCAATTGGTTAAGATTTTACAAGAATATTCATGCTGTAAATGTTAAGCATATACGGTAACAGCAGGGTCCAAAAATTTGTATTGTGATCCTTCTGTTTTTAACCCTGTCCATTTTTTCAATTTTAAATATAATTTATGTTATGTTTTATGAAAGAAATATATTTTACAGCAATTTACAATTTATTATCCTGAAGTAGTCTTTCTGTCTACCTATATTTGACTTTCCTAATTACACACATTTAAAGAAAAAAAGCCCACAGTCAAATGAAAATCAGCTAAATCAGCTGGCCCCGCGCGCCTGCGAGTTCCCCAGCTGGGCCAGCCCGCCGAGCGGGCGCGTTGAGCGGGACTGCCTATGCCCGAGTTCGCAGGCGTTTCAGGCGTCTTGCCTTCCGCCACGCGCTACGCAGCGCAGTGTTCTAGTGCCCGAGGTGTGGCTCACAGCACGCACGATTTTGTGTACGCTGATTGTGGGACTTTGCTGGGATGTGCGAGATTTCTTAACCACCCACCCCCAGGAATGCTTGCTTATCCCCCTCAAGTGTCACAGCGTACAGCGTTTCAGACGGAATGTGTGATGTGTCATTTCTTCTTCTTCAGTAAATAGGTCGACATGAGTTGTGAGATTGTCAGTTCTGACAGGAGAGCTGGGCGCTCGGCTGGGCGTTTTCTTCATTCTTACTATCAAGGAATGTGAGTTCTAGAAATTGTAAATTTTCCGGCAATGTGGCCTGGGAGGTATCCCCGAGTCGTTAGTGCATGATACAATGGTTAGTTAATTCACTGTCCATAGGAACTCGAATTTTAAGAATTGACTCCTTGTCTTTCAAGACAGGACTGAAATTTGTCATCTGGCCAAACATGCGTATGAAATTTTTAGACTGAAAATATTATTTTGATGCAATACCCGATGGTTGTTTTCCTCATACTTTGACTCTAACCACACATCTATTAATTAAGGGGTTCTCATGCATCACTAAACACACCAAGTAATTTTAGACAAGGTTCCTTCAAGAAACCAATGGAAGATTATCCCACTGGTTCACTACTCTACAAACCACCACCAGTAGTAAGAACGTATAAACAAGAGATATTGTAGAACTAACACACAGATTGAAACTAGGTGCTGAAAACGAACCGAAGTTTGTATGATTTGAAAATACTCTAGCCTTTCACACAATATTGCAACAAACTCAGTTCAAATGGCTCTTAGAACAAAAAAGCACCAAAAATTTAGCACTCAAATGATAAAAAGATCACACCATAAACCAATACAACTACAACAAGAAACAAATTTCTAAAAGGCTGTTAACATTCTTGTTAAGGTCATAGAGGTGTGATTATGTAGATTTAAATTCTGGTGGGAAAATGTGAATAGGGCCACTTTAATGAAGAATTCACGTAATGTTTCGTAAACTTTACATTAATTTACACCCATTTTTTTGCGAGACTTTACTGGGGAAGGGTTGTTGTTTGGTTACTCCAGGGTGGCTTCTGCACGTAATGAGGGGTCACCGTCACCCTTTATCTGACTTTATGAGAATGCACTACTTGATCACACCCCTACAAAACACCCCTGCACCTTGAGGGGGCTCTTTATCAGAATCCCATGATTCTCATTTCCTCACAAAGGGGCTGCAGGGCTCAGTGAGTGCTGTAGAAAATTCACTAGCCTTGTGAAAGCGATGCAACATGTTTCTACAAGTTTTGCACCACACATCGCATTTACATACTTACCACGTGCTAGAGCAAGGCACGTTCTACAGGGAAAATGTGAAATGTGCACAGAAAGTACAAGACTTTGACCTGAAGGTCTTATATACAGATATTAACTTCTGTTTGTTAAGAGAGAATTTTCCCTTTTCTTTTCTTTTTTGAAAAAAGAATGTTTTCCTGACCAAGAGCATAAAATGCTGAGTGTGCTGACTTTCTTAGAATGGTATTCTGATAGCAAATCGTGAGCTTTTTTTTATCCATCTATTGAATTTATGAGTCAAAACTCCCATAACTCAGAGCTGTTCAATTTATAAATACACCATTTTATTTCAAAACACCATTCAGCAAGTCTAGATTTCAATAAAAGAAACCCAAAAGTCATAACACAACCTTGAAATGTTTTGTACAATATTCCACAGGTGATTTAAGGGACTGAGAAATATCCTCTACAATAGATAAAACATACAGTAGAAATAATTAGTAAGTGGTAGTAGCCATAAAAGTTACGAAAGTAAATGGTACTAAAGAGGACTGAAGGAGTGTTGAAGGTAGAATGCCAACCTCAAAAGTTGAATAATATAGACTATTTGAAAATATTACACACACATCACCATTAAGAGCAAGCCACTGTTTGAGTATTTGATTCAGAGAACATTCAAGTAACACCACAGAGACAGAAGAGAGATATATGTATTGAATTTGATAGTGATGAAACAGATGAGCAGAATTATTCAAAGAAAGCAAGAAAATTGATCAGAGCTGAGGTTGTGGCACATACGTACTTAATAAACACATTCAGATCAACATATGCCAAGATGCTATGCTGACATAAAAAGAACCAAACACTACCCAACAATATATATGTGCATGTTTAATAGTATCTTATATGAATGAATTCATTCCTCTTAGTCACATCCAAGACAAGCTTAGTCATCTTTTTCTCTATCAAATTGCAACTAATAGTGTTAAAAAAAGAAGAAAAAAAAGAGGAATGAGCAGCACTGAGTGCATTCAGGAAAGCTATTGAATAAGCTTATCTTAGGGTGACTAGGAGTGCAGGTGAGTTAGTCACACAAGGAGAAAGCCAGAGTTCTGCAAAACCAAACTAGGACACTCAGTTTGTTAGGAGTTGATAACTGGAATGAAAAGACTGATTGGTGAGAGAAAAGATAGGGGTGCATGCATTTCAAGAGAAACATTAAAAAAGGCAGTTCAGAAAAAAATGTACCCCGTACAAGAAGGCCCTCTAGGGACAGAACCAATCAGTATTTTCATTCCTGAGTATAAACAGAGTAAGCTTTCATTACTTACAGCACCAGCAGCCACCTCAAACCCCAGACTAGGCCAAACAAGCAAGTAGGAAATAAATTTTAATAAATATTACCATCAAGCAGTTCTACTCAAACTACATTTATTTTGAAACCATCTACATGTGCATAATTTTCCTTTGCCAGATGGCATATGTCCGAGCCATCTTGCACCAGCCTATGTCTACACACATAACTACAAAAGAACATCTAACTCTAAAGTAACTATTTATCAGGTGTAATTTAATCTCTACAACCTTTAAAATCCAACAAACCACCAAATATTGGAACTAAACTAAAACAGTCGTGGGAGAAGGCCGAATGGCAAATTGTTTGACAAAACATTGTCTGCACCAACTTTCTCAGAGAGTTCATTTCTGGTGCAAGTTAACACCACAAAAGCATTAAAGAAATAAGACAAACTTTATTCGCTTATCTTGAATTAAATACAAAAATAGAGGGTTTTCACATCTGCGATCTTTTTAACACTTATTGCTGTTCAATATTGTTTAAAGTATATTGTCACCCACACGAAAATGGGAAAATGAACAAGGAAAATGAATACAGGGACAATGACCCAATAATAAAACAAATCAAATTTAAAGCTTTCAAAGAAAACGGGCTCATTTTTCTCCATGTGTGGTAAGTAAACAGGAGGTTGGAAATTTCAATTGTTATGACCCACATTGAAATGAAAAATTAATGGGTGGCTGGAAAATTTCACACCACTAAACCCACATGTAAATTCTCTGCTAAAACCCTCTTTGGAAATAATATACATCACACTATAGTGTGTTAAGTACAAGAAAAAAGCATCTTACCTTAAGCCTAGCACACTTGAAATTATATATTAAGCAGAAAGTTTGTTTCACCTCTCCTGTCCATTTTCCATCCACTCAATATCTATATTTAAGATCAAGTTTCAATAAATAGATTTAAAGTTTGAAGGTTTTGCAGAGAATGGTGCTAACCCTACTGGTATCAGAAAGAGTATTTGTATGGTTATTCCTTCCTAACAATTCAATGACCACTCGATTACCTAAATAACTAATACAAAATGACTATCAATGAATAACAATCGATCTGAAATAATTCAGAAAAGAGTTGGCTGCACACATGATCAAAATTGGGAGCACGACACATGCACAGTAATGTATAATGAGAGATAGCAAAGCTAAGAAAAACGCCTGCCACTATTAAATAAAATAGTTTGCCCACTCGAGCATAGGGCTTCAATGAGAAAACACTGGTATTGGTCACTTAATTCCAACACAAATAAATGGGATCATGACCTATCAAAAACACAATTTCACTGGGGAGAGGAGGGGGGTTTCACATTCATTGATGTGAAAAAGAAATAAATTAAGTATCTAGCCAGCAAACCTCCTTACAAGAGGTAAAAAAAAGGGGGGGGACAAATAAATAAGAACACTTGCCAATTTGTACTTTTTTAACTTTTAAAACAAAATAAAATACTTATGATCACAGCTTACGTGGATTTTTAAATCTTTACAGATAAGAATCTGACTCCAATTCACACATTCACAATGTGGAGTCAAAAAGATGCGGACAACTAATCTACTCATAAATAAATAACAAAACAAATGGTCTTGGTTAAACCGCAGGTAGAACCACATAAATAAATGAACACAACCCTAAAGACAAAAAAAATCAATGAGGGGAGGGGATTTAATTAATTCAGGAAAATTCATGCTCATTGACAATCTTCTATCAGACAAGACAAATTTAATTTTGGAAGAAATAGGTACCAAACAGATTGGTCCACAAAAAAATGTCAATACCATTTCAGGCCAAGAGCATGTAAACCTCATTATCCCTTCCCCTGTAATGACTGCTATGGAATGTTGTCAACCAGAGATTTTCATTAATCATAAAAATCAAGGGAGAATATTACTTATTTTGGATCCAGTAAAAGGTGCTGTAACCATAGCCAAAATATTCCGAACATGACTCCACAGAAAAAACTATCAAGTGTCTGTCGTCAGTCTTGGCAGGGGCAGCACAGAGGGGATAGGCAGCCTCAAAAGGCTTGTGACTAGACAGCGTGTCCCTCTGCACTTTCCATTGAATAAACACTAGGATACTGTACGATTACTAGCGGAACTTGACACCTAGGTATGCTATCATTGAGATCCAAGAAACACTTTCTTGATAATACTCTCATAACAATGCTCACTAATCATTTTCATATGGCACCCAATTTATACACAACAATAATCCACAAGTTGAAATAAACCATGAAGAAGCACAGACGTAATACTATCATGATACAAATTCGCAGGCTTAAAACTCAGCACAATATATAAAATATTGATAGTTTCGAGAGACTTTGCAGAAAAACAGAGAGCAACACTGAAGCTTTGTCAAGTTTGACGACTTCTTTAGCAAAAGAATGATAGAGCATTATTTCATAGAGAATTATTCATAGACAACAATGTTTACGTTTGACAAAGTATCACTTTTCAACACTAAAAAGGGAAGGAAATTGCGAAAGAAAATATGCTTTTCCCTTTCATCTTTGTCTAAGAGACAATTCCTTACACTTAACAAATTTACATGTTAAAGATGGGTCTGCATTCTTCACAGAAAGATAGATCCTTACTTTAAGAGGAAACTTACAGAAAGAAATGCAAGAGAAAAAAAAAAGGGAAAACACGAAACACAATGTAACTTGGAAGATGCAAGTACCATTACGTGATAATACTGGTTATTGCCAATTATTGCTTCCCCACCCTAGCCGCGCCACACACGGGCTGGGCCGCACGTTGCCATCCTACACATACATACCCATGCCGTACATTGAGCTCCAGTCTACCCCCTGAAAGCTGGACATGTCCACGTTGGTGAGTGAGTAGCCCTGATAGGGGTTGGCAGGGGCGGGTACGGGGGGCACCGCCGTGGGGGTCTGAGCGGGGGCGGGGGTGGCCGATGGCACGGCCTGCAGTGGGTAGGGGGAGTACCGGTACGATGCCAGGGGGTACGCGCCAAACAGCTTGCCGTAGCCTGCCTGCGCCTGGGCCTGCGCGGCCAGCTGCGTGGCGGCCACCTGGGCGTGGGCCGCGGCTTGCGCCTGCACGGCGGCGAGCTGCGTGGCGGCGGCGGGCGCCGCTGTGGGGCCTACCCGCATCAGCATGCGTTTGCTCAGGAGCAGCCCGTTGACGCCCAGGTTGGCGGCGGCCACCGACTCCTTGGGTTGCGCCTTCTTACACTCCACCTTCTTGTTCTTGATGGTGTGGAAGTGGATCTCACACACTCGGTCCACCACATCCTCCTGCTCAAACGTCACGAAGCCAAAGCCACGGTGGCGCTTCGTCTGCTGGTCCATCAGCATCACTGTCTCCTCGACCTGTAGCGAGCACAGCAACAGTTGGGTCAGAGAAACGGTCCAAACCTGAACTAGAGCAGAATCGAGCCGCGCTGAGCCTCACCTTGCCGAACTGGTTGAAGTACGCCTTCACTTCCTCTGTGGTGGTGTCCTGGCTCACGCCGCCGACGAAGATCTTCTTGGTTCGGTTCGCGACGCGCCCTCTGTTCTTTGGAGTCGCGTGCTTGGGGTCGATCTTCTTGCCGTCGAGGGTGTGGACTGGCACTTTAAGGACCTTCTCCACCGTCTCGGCGTCCTGGAAGGTGATAAAGCCAAAGCCCCGATTCCTCTGCAAAGGACGAAGGGCGAGCGAAGGGTTAGACGGCCGCCCCCAGAACGAGCCACGAGCAGACGCAGGGCCTGTGTCTCACCTGTGTCATGGGGTCCTTCATGATGAGCACGTCGGTGACGGTGCCGAACATGCCGAAGTACTCCTTGAGCCTCTCGGCCGACGTCTGCCAACTGAGGCCGCCGACAAACAGCTTGCCGGGGGCGGGGTCCGCGGCCGACGGCGACACCCTGCCGGGTGACGTGCTGCCGTTGTTGACGGGCACGCCGACCGGGACGCCGACGGGAACGCCGGCGGCGGCCGCGGCCGCGGCGGCTTGGGCCTGCGCGTTGCCGTTGGCGCCGTTCATCTGAACGGGGCTCGTGTCCATCTTGATCTGCATGCGCGCGGCGTGGCCCGCGTGCCCGTTGGCCTGCACGGGCACGATGGAGGCGGCGGGGACGGCGGGCACCAGCCCACTGTGGGCGGCGGAGTGCGCCGTTCCGTTGGGGATCGCCACGCCGGGGTGGGCCATGAGGCCGTTGAAGCGAGTATGGTCAGCCAGCGCCATGCTATCCATACCCAAACTGCAACAGACACAAGGGCACAGCGTGAGCGCCAACAAAACGGCCAGCTACCATTGCGTTGGTGGTTGGTGGTGGATGGTGGTGGTGGTGGATGGTGGTAGTGGTTGGTTGGTTGGAGACGCAAGGACAGAACCAAATGATAACGAGAAAAAATAGATCAGGACAGAAGAAACAAGTTTATGCCTCGCCGGGACGGTTCGACCTGATCGCATCCCTAGCAACATCATCTTGGTCTTCGACGCGCGACGTCCATGCCCAGTTGCTGCGAGGAGAGCGAAGGGCACCTCGACCCCCAACCAGTGTGTCACCAAGGCCGGTCGCTCGGCGGACTCTGCGCGGGTTGGGTGCGCGCGAAGCGCGTTGCGCGGGCCAACGACAGTCCGAAGACGTGCCACAACCATGCTGGTGAAGGCTTGCAACCCACCGAGAACTCCCGAGTCACGCGGACCTGCCAGTCACTCTGTCGCTAAACGCGGCAACCGCGGACCGCGGCACTCAACGACCACAACGCCCGCCGCGACTCCCCGAAGACCGTCTTCGGCTGCGAATCGGATAGAAATGTCAAATCGCCATGTAAGGGGATCCCGCGCTTATCGCCCCGTAGGCCCGCCGCCCCATCAGCGCCACCGCCGCGAAGGTGGCAGCATCTCCAGCAACATCCTGCCCCTGGGGCCCCGAGGCCAACGACCGCCTCCTCGCCCAGCACCCCCTGCCCGTCCCGAGCTCGGCGTAGCGGCGTAGCCTGGCGCTGACGTTCCAGAGCGCATTACTTGGGCAGCAGCCCCTCCCTGCCCCGAGGCCGCCCCCCGCCCCCGCCAGACTCGCCCCGCATCTCGTCCAGCCCGACAGCCCCGCGACGACGTCCACGCCGCCAGCTCGAGCACAGGCCGCGGCCAAAATAATGTTTTTCAAAATCAATTTCCGAGCCTCGGTGAGGGGGGAGGGGAGGGGTGGTGGGGGTCGCCCGCGGGGGTGGCTGCGGCGCTGCGAGGGCCGCCGTGGTGGGGGCGTGGCGGAGGCGGCGCGGGCGGCGGAGGCAGCAGGACAATGGTGGGATTGATCGCGAAGGGTGAGGGCGGCGCACCAGGGCGGCGCGCACGCGCGACAGGGGTGGGGAGGGGCGGCGGGGAAGGGTGGCCGCCCGGGGGTGGCTCGGCATGCTCGGCATGCTCGGCACTGGGCGGTGGCGCTGCCCGAGCTTCCCCAGTCGAGTTGCGACCGCCCCGCCGACCCGACCGGGCGCCTCCGCGGCCGGCACCGCCTGCGTCGCCCAGGCCTCCCAGGCCCCCGTCAGCGCCCAGCGACAAGCAGGTGAGTCCTGGAGCCGCCCCGCAGCTCCAGCACTCCAGCCAGCCCGTCCTCCAGGCCACCGCGTCGGCACGCCCCAGCCCCCGCCGTCGCCGACCTCTCCGCCGCGCCCGGGTCTGTGATATTGTCCTGTCACAGCAGTACTGACATTAAAGCCTACTGCTGTTATGGGACATGACCTCAGCCCCGGGCCGTCGCCGTCACCGCCCCGGCCAGCGACGCCGCAGACGCCGAGGACGCCGAGTAGCAGGTACCCGAGGCAGGATCAATACCGGAGGATAGTGCGGCCGTGCGGCCGCCCAGCGACACCGCGGGATGTGCTGCGGCGCTACGCCGCTACGCGGTGCCACGCCCTGCAAGACACAGCGAGGGCTGCCCGCGCCCGCCCGCCCGCGCCTGCCCGCCCGAGGAGCATGTTGACGCCGGCCAACGCATTACCCAAATTGAGTGCCGCCGCGGCAAGGCACCGCACGGCCGCAGCGCGACGGAAGGGCGGCCGATTATCGCAGATAAGTCCATCGACCATCTGGCAAGCGCCACGCCCCAATCAATACGCCGATTTCGTCCCGCCCGTCCCGCCCGCCCTGCGCACCTTCCTCCTGCCCTTTGGGATGATGCGGCCTGCCCGCCGCGGCCCGCCGCCCGATCGATGCGCAGGATAAGCAGCGCAGCAGCGCCAGCCCCGTGTTTTGGTCCCAGTTTCGCCACATTTCATCCCGCGCAGCCCCACCGAGGGCCCCACCGAGGGCCCCACCGAGGGCCCCACCGAGGGCCCCACCGAGGGCCCGACCCGCCTGGCCCCGCGGGTGCCCTACGCCCGTCCTGCTGGACAATCTGGGACAGGTGACGAAGGGGGGTCGGGTGTAGCAGAAACTGGAGCATTTGCAACGTTGCCGCTCGGGGCAGAGGAAGTCCCGCTGGAGCCGGGAGGGTGGCGCGGCGCGCGGAGCACCAACCCTGGGGAGGAAAGGGGAGGGGGAGGGGGGATTCAACCCCTTCTGGCGGAACCGGATTCAAACCCGAAGAGCCTCGCGGTACGCAAGAAAAGGCCAGCGCCGCCGCCGGGACGCGAACCAGGGACCGGGCGAGCCTGGCCGGCCAAGGCTTTATCCTCCAGCAACACCAGCTTCCGGCGGGAAAAGGCGAGGGGACGGGAGGGAGGCCAGGACGAGGGCAGGACTCCTTTTGCATGTTTGATGCCTGCGCCTCAGACCGGCGGGGAGGAGGGGGAGGCTGGCATCACCAACACTACCATTACCATGTATGTACAGCACAAAAGGACTCGTTCCTACAACGTCATGGAGATAAACCAACAACTTAGAGACTATCACAATCTAAGGTAACTTTACCAGGTATACAAGTTAGTAGAGAGCTAGTTAGTAGTCAAAAGGATAGATGATCCTGTCACAAAAAATAAATAAAAAAAACGTTCTACAAAGTAAAATTATAAACAACAGAAAGACTTAGAAGAAGTTCCATATACTTCTGCGGGTTATCACTTTGTCTACGAGACTGAAACAAGACGAATGTATATGCTATGGGGGAAACACGTGTCAATACGAAGAGGAATAGAATGATAGAAAATAAAACACCTCTAAACTCCACCTACTAGTCAAGTACTGGCTGCCGACTGACTGGTCCTTGCCTCCCTCCCTCCCTCTCATCTACAGCACGCACAAAGTAAGCTCGGCGCGGCAGCCTCGCTGTGTACAGTCGCTTCAGATCGTCCACCCCTTCTCTCATGCTCGCTCTTTCACTCTCCTCCGCTGATATCGATTCGGGCCGGGGGTTGGGGCGGCCGGGGGTTGAGGCGGGCAGGGTGGGGACGGCCGGGCGCCGGCACCCACATGACGAGTGCTGCCAAATGCACTGCCGGGCTGACTGCCTGGGTTCGAATCCCCTCGAGGCTGACGCGGGGCTGACGGGGGCCAGGCCTGACTTGTCGGGGGGCTCTAGACGGACACGGCGGACTTTGCTACGAGCCTTGCAAATTTTCCCAACTAGCGACGAGGAAGAGTTCGACGGCGACGGGACACATTCAAACGAAAATAGGTTGCAGGAAAAATCATGCTTCTGCCTCGGGGTGTAAATGTGTACTAGTACTAACAAGAAGCCTCGTCGAGAGGAACCTAACGGTAAACACACCAAACGGGCGGAAAGAATATGCCCAAAAGTCTATTACACAGTGAACAATTGGACACAAACAGTTACAGTTGAAAAGTGCAGTGCCTTGGCCCGACATGCATAATAAGACTAAAATAAAGGTGCACTTTTAGAATTTGTGATCCACAATAAGCCCATTAAACCTCCATATGCTACAGAAAAGAGGCCGAGTTGTAACAGCTTAGAATTCCTCGAAATTAATTATTTGCTTTCTGTACAGACAACCCCGCACATAGGGTCATCTAGGTCTATTTACTTACGGAGGCAAAATACTTTGCTGGTTTTAAGACTAAAAACCGCCAGAACTGGCGGGAAATACTTATACCTTTTATCCAAAATAATTGTTCAAGAGCAATTTGAAGTGATTGCAACGTTAATATTTTCTTACTTTGGAGCAAGAACTGGAGCTTCAGTATAACTGTTTCACATATCAATGAAAAGACCGTATTTAGACAGTATTGATATAAAGACAAACTGATGCGTCAAGGATAGAGGGGCTTACCTAAAGCACCTTCCGCAAAATCTCCAGCCAAAGCATATGCAATTGTGAGTAAATAGTAACAAGGACAACCCCATATGTACAGAGGCATTTAGCATATTTAGCCAAGATCGTGCTTTGCTCAAATTTTAAAATTACAGTACAGTTCTATCCAATAAGATACACAGAAAAGCAAATAGAATTGGAAGGTGATAAACAAGAGCCCAGCTGCCTCCAAACAGGCCCTCACAAGAACTACAAATCCCGTAAGTGCAGAAAATGTTGCAAAATTTTGCTTGATCCGGAAAGGATTGAGTGTCTGCTCATTGTTACGGTTCCCACTGCCTGCTACAGGCATGCACGTCCGACTGGGTTTTGCCTAGGCACGTGGTTCTACTTCCACATTCGGATACACAAACTTTCAAATGAAAACAACACTCCAGGATAAGGAAAGACTTTTCTGGAAACCTCTGAGATACAAACTGCGATTCTTTGGTTGTGATATCACTCAATTTGTCCTTGACATTGGATAAACTACAGCTAACTACCTAAAGTCTTCAACAATGAGGTGAAAAAAATCTATCACAGTTCCATTAGTGCTAAAGGCTAAGAGCGTCGGGCACGGTACCCGGTCACTTACCGTGGCCCGCACATAGCAAAGACAACACATCCGCAATTCACCATTAGGGATTCATGGGGATTCCTGCCAATACTACGCAAGGGATACGGGGTGGCGGGTAAAATGCCCTAACTATACTGATGACAACGATTCACCGCTGTCTACAGAACACTCAAAAAAACACTGACACTTGGGGCAGGTCCCGAGGGTCCAAATTGTTAGTATACCCCCTACTTGATACGTAGCCACCCCAGATTACAAGAAAATCTCATTAGACCTCAGTTGCTTTAGCGCCCACGAGAACTAGGGCAAATTCGTTAACGTAGTTACCACCCACACTTTCTGGTGGTGCAACGCCAATTACATTGAGAGTGATTTAGTTTGTTCCAAGAGATTTCAGTAAAATGAGGTGTACTTGAAAATCTAACCATG